TTCTCCTAATAACTACCCTAAGCCCATCACATTGTGCCTCTGAAATGGTACACTTTAATCCTTCCTCCTAGGAAGACAACCCACCCACCCAAGACATCATATGGCACAAACTTTTAAAAGTAAAGATTAAACTTTGGGGGATTTGGACTAAGGGTCATTCTCTGGCTCAATGATGGTGAGAAGGCAGGCCATCATTAAAGGGGAGAAATGAGAAATACACACCTCCTAACACACTTAACACACATCTTCCTTACCAAAGACCTCATTTTTGGACCTAGTGCCCCTCAGGTAGATTGACGAGAAGTATAGTTTACTTCAATAACACCCAGTGCAGGGTAAAACTCCCGTCCTGGTGTCTCAGTATTAGCATGGCAACTCATCACAGGGGCAAAATTCTGCTGTGCTTTTCACATACTAATTTAAGAAACCATAAGGTTGGCTAGGAAGGGGATCAAGAAAGAATAAACATTTCTATCTATAAAACACTTAAAAATCAACACTAATTTCACAAAGAATGATTCAGAAATTAATTTTAATAAGGCTCAATACTTCAGATATTATTTTACCAGCTTTCTCATAATTTGATTTCATTTTTAAAAATCGGGTTTAGGGGGCACAGTGGGTAAAGACACTGCCTGCAAGGCTTGCATTCCATATGGGCACTGATTTGAGACCTGGCTGCTCCATTTCCCATCCAGCTCCCTGCTAATGGTCTGGGAAAAGCAGCAGAAGATGGCTTGTGTGCTTGGGCCCTTGTTGTCTATGTGGGAGACCTGGAAGAAGCTTCTGGCTTTAGTCAGGCTGTTGCAGCCATCTGAGGAGTAAACTAGCAGATGGAAGAGCTCTCTAACTCTTTCAAACCAATAAATAAATCTTTAAAAAAAAAACTCAGAGGCTGGCATTGTGGCACAACAGGTCAAGCACTATTTGCGATGCTGTAATCCCATATCATCGTGCCAATTTGAGACCCAGCTGCTCTGTTTCTGATCCAGCTCCCTGCCAATGCATCTGGGAAAGGAGTGGATGATGCTCCAAGCACTTAGGGCCGTGCCACCCACGTGTGAGACCAGGATGGAGTTCTAGGTTCCTGGTTTTAGCCTAGCACAGATTTGGCTGATATGTGGTTGTTTGGGGAGTAAGCTAGTGGACTAAAGATCTCTGTCTCACTCTGCCTTTCAAATAAATATTTTTTCTCAAAAAAAATTAGGCTTATATATAGAAATGAGCCAACAAGAGTCTTGTATCAATTAAATTTCCTTCAAAAATATGGTTTCTTTTCATCTAGTCCTCAAGAGATCCCTTCCCTTACTTCAGTGACTTCCTAAATGGATCTCTGTGAGCTCTCATTGCTTTCCTCCTCTCATTTCTAAAGTTGGATAACCAAATGAGTTTATATCCCTTTAGTGAAACTCATTAACAGAACAGCCCCCTTTCCCACTTTGCAGTAGTGAGCTTACATCTTTGATCTGAACCGTAAACTCCTTCTCATCCATGCCTCGGCGAAGTTTGGTGAATTGGGCTGCTGCTGTGGTTACTGCAGATGCTTCCTCCTCAGCCATGGAAGCTGCACTGCTGCTCCGTGGTGTGGGGACTGGAGAATCACCATATTCTCCAGGGGTCAATGAGGGACTCTCTAGCAAGTGGTTGGCTGGCCCCAAAATTCCTCCTGTGATCATTTCCTGGTTCCTGCGGCTAGAAGGCCACTTCCCTGAGAGTACAGCCTGGCAGATGAGGTCAATACGGTTTATCAGGACACGATCCTGGGAGGTGAAAAAGAGATACCACTGAAGGGTCTGAGTACTGGCTACATGATCCTCTGACACACAACACTGTTGTCATTACCAGGATGGGTAATCACAAGAAAGAAGCAAGCCAACTGCAAAGTTTCACACAAAAACTTCCAGAACTAAACATAAAAATAAACCAAAACCATCTTCCTTATTCCCTTTATATAATGTTCCACTCTGTTTCTGGATCTGCATGTTCAGAAATGAAGCTGTTATTACCTTGGGCCACTCAGAAGCTCTTTGTCTTTCCTGCAGCAGCAAAAGCTCAGGAGTCATTTGTTCACCATCTTCATTTGGGAATCCATCTTGGGACATAGTAAGAGACAGGAGACTCTCTTCATCATAGAGCTTTGAGCGGGAATGGTCCGCAGCTAGAGATCACATGGAGTGTATGAGCAAAGATAGGAGAGTCATGTTATATGGGAATGGTATTATACGGGCTTTGAATAAAGGCCCAAAGACAAACAGATCTCTTTTTACATGTTATCAAATCAAAACCCAAATCTCTTTCAAGAGGTTGCCTTTAGAAAAGGGAAAGAGCAGAAGGGAAAACAGGGAAGAGGGCCAACAGCCTGTCACATGTACTCACTTAGCTTCTCTTCCTTCTCGTCCTCACTCTCATCAGTGCTGGAGCTGGAGCTGGATGAGGATGAGGAAGAAGAGGATGATGGTGACAGCTTGCTCAAGTCCAGCTCAGAGTCTGAATCATCCTCATCCTCCAGTTTGACTGGCGGAATATTCCGGGAAACCAAAGGGGTAGTATCAGAGGGGGCCACTCGCACCTCATAGTCTTGTGGGGTTGGTCGGCTCCTGGCCACCACCTCATGTTCTAGCTTTAAAGTCAGACTCTCCAGACTGGGGACCTGGGCAGCTGTCTCCTCAGGTGACTTTTCGACAGGAGCATCTGGGCGCAGGGGCAACGGTGAGGCAGTGCGTGAGGTATACTGCTGGTGTAGCAGTGGAGTAGAGCAGCGTGACAGGGATGGAGCTGGTGCTCCTGCCTGATGGTTCTGCATGTAATTCATACGGGCAGCCAGAAAAGAGAAGTCTGGGTCCTGCATGATGTTGCAGTCTGTTTGGCTCACCCCATGGCGGGCTGCCCCTCGTAGTAGCTCCCCATCATGCCGAACAGGCTCCCACCATTTGGGCAATTCAGGACCTGGGGGCTGACACAATGCCAGCCGATCTTCCAAAAGAGGGTGACACAGAACTTGTTCCCTTAAGCGTCGAAGCAATTCAATACGGTAAAGAGTCCGTGAGGCCCTCTCCTCAGTGATGGGCTCAATGAACAGATTAGGGTCTGGGGGTTCTGTAAGAGACAGGGACAGAAAGAGAAATTAACTAAGAGTTGACACATCAACAGTCATCCCCATTCACCCTACACTCTCCAACCTTGCTTACCATCTCCAGCTGCTGGGGGCAGGCGGCACACTTGGCGGCACATGGCCACAAAGCCATGGAAATACTTGGTAAGGCTTTCATCTGTTTTTTTGTCTAGTCGGGCAAAAGTGCGGAAGCGATCCCAATGGAACTGCATGGTGTCAGGGTCATATTCCACACCAAAGGTAGACACTACTCGATAGAAATCCGTTTGTTCACGCCTTGTCCATCTACAAAGAGGGGTAAGGCAACCGTGATCAGGAGAACATAGGAAAACTGGCCACTTCCTAGAGTGATTCAAATATTACAGTGGGGGGAGGGGTGCAGAAGAAGAGAAAGTCTAGAAGGAGAGGTGAGGTCATATTAACACATAAGAATCACCAAGCTAAGAGGGGAGTGGGTGGGAATGAGGCAGGCAAATAACTAATGAGACTGTCTATACAGTCCTGAGGTTTATGATTATTACACAAAAGTTAGGTCTTAAGTTCTACAGGCGTTAACAGTTCAAGGCAGAAAAGGTGATCCCTCGGTAGGGTATTCCAAATAACCCTTCCTAAGATGGTTCGTAGTATAGGGCTCACATAGCACAGCCCAAATACCCAGTCATATTTTACCGTTGTTGTTTCTCACGTCGTGCAATTTCTTTTAGCTTGAAGGCTGCTTCACAACGCCGCCGTCGCCGATCCCCACGTTCTGCAGCCTCTATCTTCATCTGTTCTCTCTTGTAGCTGCGCTGATAGGCTGTTACAAGGCGCCGGAGCCTAGCTGTTAGGGCAGAGCCTGGAGGCCAGAATAGATGGCCTGGCTGTTGGGTCACCTGGGCTGTGAGAAACAAAGTAGAATCAACAGGAAGCACAGAAAAGGTAGTAGAGATAATACTGGTATTTCAACCCACCCAAAGGCACAGCTCTTAGGAATCCCAGGATAAAACAAGTCAGTCAACAATTCCCCAACCCCACCACCCCACGCAAAATTATACTAGTTGACCTAGAGGTTTACCTTCATCTCCATCAATCACTGAGATCTCCTCATCCATCATCATCAAGGGATCACCCTAGAGAAGGAGATCCACCCCAGAGGATGGAGGGGGGAGTGAAAGGGGGGGAAGTTGGCACTCTGAAATCACTTTCTTGTGTGTGTCCTTCTGTGACACCAAGGGTCAAAAAAATGTCTAATGAAAGGAACCCTCACAGAAATTTGGAAGCAACTAACTAAAAGAAGAAGAACGTAGAACCAGAAAGATCAGTTCTTATTAATGACTCAAAGATGAGATTCAGAAATTTGTCAAATGATATCCTTCAACACCAAACTTGGGTCCCACCTCAACCATAAAGCCATCCCTGATCTCCCCCAGTTGGCCTTATAATCCTCTGTATGAATACTTTATATTCTCAAATGGTTTTTCCTTTCTAGTTTATATGATAAGTTAATATACTTCAAGATTCAGAGAATGGGAGAAGACTTAACTATTTAGTAATGGAGAAAAGCTAGACTCAAATGAGAATTCCTTACCTCATCATCTTGGTCCTTCGGTGGACCCTGGAGTGGTTTATATTCAGGATCCTCACAATCCTTATCAAAGTCAACCCTAAAATTATCCAGAGGCATAAGCAAATGTTAATAATATATCTTTTATCACTAAGAGGGACCTAGGATGAAGACCTGGCCAAACATACAATCCAGCATGGAATAGTCTTTAATTTCATGATTGTAGGAATAGCAGGGCGGGTGCTAAGCTTTGGGCCAATTAGGTACAGCATCTAACAAAACAAGAAATTACAAGAAACCAACAAAGTGACACTCATAATTGCTTGTATTTGAAATCAAACACTTTAATCAGAATACTTCCTCTCTATAGCTCTTTCTATTGTTTAACCCATCCTCTCCCTCTTTCTCAACTATTTACTCTTTACTATGATATTTGAATGGTCCATGTTTTTTGTTTTTGTTTTTACTACCATGTTCTAATGAGCAGTAATAATTGATTTGCAATGAAAAATGACCCAATTTCCTTTGAGGGTCCTACAGCAAATTGAAATTGTGATCAACAATGAGAAATTTCTAAATTGTGTAGGCATGGGTAGGTATTCATTAACTAAGCCAACTATTTCACATGCCCCTCAGGTCTTCATGTGAGAAGTTTTGTTAAACTCACTGGCACCCAAACCAGGGCAATAATGCCCTACCTGGTGGCTCAGTATTAGCATGGCAACTCATCATTGGGGCATGCATCCAGGAGGAATAAATATGTTTATGTGTCAGGCAGCACTGGAAAATGATAAACCAGGGCAGAAATTGCCTGAGGCTATACCACATAAGCAACATGTGAGAGCTGCCTGACTCCTCTCTTTCAAGAGAATCAGCTGTTGTTTCAGCTTCTGTGGCTGTGCAGAAGAATGTTATATAGTGCATTAGAACAACTACTCAATGAGTCACTTGGGTATAACATTACATTTCACCCTTAGTTGTACCTTAGGGTGTCATGTGCTTTAGGTTAATTTATCAAGCCATATCCGCTGGTCCACTCTGTTAAAAGTTTGAATCCCAATGGGTTCAGAAAGGGTGGTTATGTTATCTCTTAGGTCAAGCTTCATAGAGTGAGCTCAAAGTTTTAAGAGAACTAAACACCAATGCTTACCCTTCTACTATGTCAGAGAAATTATCCAACACTCGATGTTCTGCTGCAATGGCTTTATCATCTGGCCGGCCAGCCTTTTCTAGGAAGCATAAGGCTGGATCTGCCCTCATAGTATTGTATTTCTCATAGCCTAGAAGAAAAAGAACCAAAAGTAGAAGGAAATCAGATTCATTTTGCCTGTATGCTTATGTAGATGCTGGAATAATTGGAATATGTGTGTTACTTTGCTCTTAATCCAAAATATAGGTAAAATGTTAATGGGGGTAGCTGTTGGGTTGTATTATTATAATTGACATTTTATAGCAATTTAGAATCATGAAGACTTTAAATTAGTGATTGCTGGTATGAATTTAATCAAAGAGGGGCACACATCTGGCACACTAGTTAAGATGTTGCTTGGAAAGCCCTTATTCTATATCAGAGTTCCTTGTTACAAGTCCCAGCTCTACTTCCAATTCCAGCTTCCTGCTAATAAGGTATACCCTGGGAGGTAGCAGGTGATGGTTCAACTACTTGGGTCTCTGCCACCCATGTGGAAGACCTGGATTGAGTTCCAGGCTCGTGGCTTTGGCCTGGCCTAATTCCAGCTATTGTGGGCAGTAGGGGAATTAACCAGCAGATGCAAAATCTTTCTCTCTGCCCTTCAAATAAATAAAAATACATAAACTAAAGGAATTTTTAAATGGTATTTAGTCAAAGAATTTTTATATTATGGTGATAGATTTACATAACCACATAACTGGTAATCTTTCATCATTAATATACAGAAGGATAAATAAAGCTAAATAATTTAATGATAGGTCACACATTCTCAAGTGAAGAATAAGAAACTTAGGTTTTTATATAAATAGGTATTCAGTGAATATTTGATGAACACACTCAAGGATAACTAGACTCTACCTGTGTTTCACAAGTAAATCTCAGACTACAAATGCTCATAGTTTTTCTTATCTCATTAAACTTCTCACAAATATGTAGATTAAGTGTGATTACTTTTATTTTATTTAACAGAAAACTATTTTTAGAAAAAGAAAAGGTTTCCATTCATGAACTCACTGTGCTGGAAATTAGTACTCAATGCTTTTAGTGCCTGCGATTTGTTAGTAGACAAAACTGAGTATATTGTGATCTTATACTCTATTTTTGTTTTAACTCAAAAACTGCTGCTCGGCCGGCGCCGCGGCTCACTAGGCTAATCCTCCGCCTTGCGGCACCAGCACACCGGCGCCGGATTCTGTCCCGATTGCCCCTCTTCCAGGCCAGCTCTCTGCTGTGGCCAGGGAGTGCAGTGGAGGATGGCCCAAGTGCTTGGGCCCTGCACCCCATGGGAGACCAGGATAAGTACCTGGCTCCTGCCATCGGATCAGCGGCGGCCATTGGAGGGTGAACCAACGGCAAAGGAAGACCTTTCTCTCTCTCTCTCTCTCTCTCTCTCACTGACCACTCTGCCTGTCAAAAAAAAACAAAAACAAAAACAAAAAAAAACTGCTGCTCACACCTACATTAGACTGAATGTTGAACATTTAGACAACTGGGCCACTTAGATAAGTAGAACACTTTTCAACAAGCTACAGGAAAGTCATACAAATTAAGTCTGGTCATTACTAACAGGAATGGGCATATATTACTTCCCCTGATTTGTGGAACCTCAACATAGCATCACAACATACAGTGGGGTATCATACTGTTGATCGTGATTATAGAACCAATGGGAGGCTCCCCGCCTTAACTATCCATCTGGCCTTTCTTGAACATTTATTTATAGCATCTAACTGCTCTGCTCCTATTCAAACATAATTTATAGAACATCAGTCAGAGGACTCATTGTTCTTGAGTTTTTTTGCTAAATGTTTCATCTGTGGACATAAATCTTAAATAGGAAAGAAATTAGACTAGGGGAAGATACCTACCATGCTTAAAGACTCCAATGAGGAGGGATTTATCAGCCTCACTGTCCCACCATGTTGTTGGAACTTCCAGCTGATCCACTACCGGGAACCATATGTCAATCTCACTAAAGATACAGGAGGGCAGAGTCAGCAAAGCAATGCAGAAATTAAAGTGATAATTCTCAGAAAGATTAATATAGCTATTTTCCTTAATCCATTAATTCAAATGATCAGTATTTCCTACCACTAGAGTCAAATATAGGATTAAAGACCTGATGTATAGAGATTTAAACTAACAGGTATCCCAAGGAAAATACAGAATGAAATAAGCAAATCAACCTTTCTTGGAATTAGGCAGAACATAAAGAAAAATACAGAAAAACTATACCTGGCAATGGCACCCCCTAACACCTTCTCTGCTTGGTCTCCAATAACCTCTTGCCTCAGGTAGTATAGCATTCGTACCCTCAACAGTACCCTAGGAGAAGGGAAGGAGAAAGATAGCTCATTATCAGTGCACAAAGTCTGAGCTGGGAAATTTCTTCACGAAATTCAGTTCTTACTTGTTACACTGATGTTTCAAGTGCTTCTTGTAACTCTCATCTTGGAACAAAGTGTCAGGGTTATACTTTCGGATCCAGTCTGCCTTATGGATATCAAAAGTACTTTGTGACTTTACTTTTTTCCCTTTGCGTCCACGGGGCACAGGGATAGATAGACCTGGGAAAGGGGAGACATCAAAGACTTGGATTGAGAAAAACCCTTGGATCTGAAAAGGGACTAGATAACCGACAAAAAGATGAAAAGTAAAGAGTTGGTAATTACCTGAATGATTTTGCAATTCTTTGGTTTTGCCATTCTCAGCGGGGCTAATCAAGTCCCAAATGAAGCCTTTGATATTTTCATCCCCACGGTAGTGTAGAAGACAGTAGACAAGGATGGCCCGGCAAATTGTCTCCACATCTCGTTCAGTCATACGTCGCTTAAAGCGTCCATGAGACAAAATATCTCGCCATCGTCCCCAACTAAACAGAAAATAAAACTATATTAATATTTTTCTGGAAATGCTAATTCAGCAATATTCCCCTACCTGCAAGAATTACATCTTCCAAAAGGTAAGAGATTAAAAGATCTTGAACAACACAGTAAAGGAGTAACAGGAGTAAACTCCCTCCACAGCAAAAATCTGATTGTCCCCTCTTTGGTCATAGCCTCCAATTTGAAAGACAAGCAGGGTGTCAGTCAGGATGGAGATATAGCACCTCTCATGGTAAGCTGAGTTCGTACCCATATACCAGCAGGTGTTTTTCCACCCGAAAGCAGTCAGTGCGCCCATAGGCATGATGCCGGTCATGTCTTCGGGAGCGTGGCCGCTCATCATCCTCACTTTCCAAATCAGAGAACTCTACTAGGTCGTCATCTTTCAGCGTGCTAAAGTGGCGGGTCTGTTTTCGTACTCTAGGTGTGTCAATCACCAAATTGTTCTGTGCAGACAGAAGAAACTCTCTTCATTATATGCTCATAAGAAAATAATTAAAGACAATTAAGGTTTGAAATAGCCTGGTATGTAACATATGCAGATATCCAAAGAGATATTTCAAGGACATGTAAAATAATCTTCAAGAAGCAAAAGTAAGTGGTAGATTTCTAAGTACTTTTCTGAGGCCTCCTGGGTTAGAATGTTTCCAGACCAGCCCTTCTGTATAATATGCCATCTAAACAACAAAGCAACAAAGAATCCTGAAAAGTTTTGTGTCTTCTGAGGTATTTCTTCCCTAAAGGAAGACTTAAGCTCACCTTGCTATTCAGCAGATCCATGTCTAGGTCAGCCTTTTTGGCCCACTTTTGCCAAAAGTTGGGGTCATCCAGAGAAATGTCTGTTCTATTTTCAGAAGCAACAAAGCTTGCCTAGTGAGGAAAAAAATTGAAAGTTTTGTTTATTTGAAAGGCAGGTAGAGAGAGAAAGAGAAGAAAAAAAATATCGCCTATCTGCTGATTCACTCCCCGTACACCCACAACAGCCAGGAGCTCAATCCAGGTCTCCTATATGGGTGGCAGGGAACCAAATGCTCAAGCCATAGCAAGCTGCCTCCCAGGGTACACAATAGCAGGAAGCTAATCCAAAGCAGAGCTGGGACACAAATCCAGGCCATCTGATATGGGAGGTGCCACTGCACCTTAGGGCTGGCACTGTGGTATAGCAGGTAAAGCCACTGTCTTCAGTGCTGGCATCCCATATGGGAGCTGGTTCAAGACCTGGCTGCTCCACTTCTGATCCAGCTCTCTGCTATGGCCTGGGAAAGCAGTACAAGATGGCCCAAGTCCTTGAGTCCCTGCACCAATGTGGGAGACCCAGAGGAAACTCCTGGCTCCTGGCTTCAGATTGGAGCAGCTCTGGTTGCTGCGGCTTACTAGGGAATGGACTAATGGATGGAAGAACTCCCCCTCCCCCCAGCCTCGCCTCTCTCTGTCAAATAAATAAATAAATATTTTATTTATTTTTTTTTTATTTTTATTTTTTTAAATTTTTTGACAGGCAGAGTGGACAGTGAGAGAGAGAGACAGAGAGAAAGGTCTTCCTTTGCCGTTGGTTCACCCTCCAATGGCCGCCGCGGCCGGCGCACCGCACTGATCCGATGGCAGGAGCCAGGAGCCAGGTGCTTTTCCTGGTCTCCCATGGGGTGCAGGGCCCAAGCACCTGGGCCATCCTCCACTGCACTCCCTGGCCACTGCAGAGAGCTGGCCTGGAAGAGGGGCAACCGGGACAGAATCCGGCGCCCCAACCGGGACTAGAACCCGGTGTGCTGGCGCCACTAGGCGGAGGATTAGCCTAGTGAGCCGCGGCGCCGGCAATAAATAAATATTTAAAAAAAATAAATTAACCACTGCACCAAACATTTTCCCCGATAATTATATCTGTAAAATATATTTTAATCTTACAGATTCCTTTTTCTATCCCTGCTTTACCATTCTCTGGCACAGACAGATCATACCTTGGCAAAGGTAGAACCTTTTCCTTCAGATTCAATGGTGATAGTTGTAGTTCGTCTTAACAAGATTTGGTCAATGTCTTCTTCACAAAACTTGGAGCCCTCATCATCTTCTTCCATTATTGCTGCATATGCTCCTTTTCTTAAGAGATCTTCAATTTCCTTCTTGGAGAATTGTTGGATCTACAAAACCCAACAGAAAGATGAAAAAAGTACATGATAGTATTATCTTTTTTAAAAAAAGTTATTTATTTGAAAGTCAGAGTTACAGAAAGACAGAGATAGCCAGAGAGACAGAAAGATATCTTCCAGCTGGTTCACCCCCAGATGGCTGCTGGGCCTGGCAGAAATTCATCCTGGTTTCCCACATGGGTGGCAGGGGTCCAAACACCTGGTCCATCTTCTGCTGTTTTTCCCAGGGCATAGCAGAGAGTTGGATCAGAAGTGGAGCAGCAGGGACACAAACAGGCATCCATATGGGATGCTGGCATAGCAGGCAGTGGCTTTTATCCGCTGTACCACAAAACAGGCCCCATGCCTTCATCTTTGGGCCATTACATTATAAGAAATAATTGATAAAATTATTTGTAAATAACAAACTTAAAAAAGAATTCAGAATCTGAACAAGGTACTCAGATTCCTGTAAAGAAAAAAATATCTATTATCTCTATCACTAAGACTCATTATAAACTTATCTATGGACTAAGAAAACTCACTCCAGTAATGTTGCCATCCCGACCACTCATGGATTGAAGTACAGCCTTATCCAATCCCAACTTGAGGCTAGCCTTATCAAACATCTCTCTCTCATAGGAATTACGAGTGATGAGACGGTATACTTTTACAGCTTTGCTCTGTCCAATTCTATGACATCGTGCTTGGGCCTGGTTTAAAAAAAAAAAAACAACAAACAAACAGTGAAAGACAGGATAAAATTAGAGGGTTAAAAAATACAAAATACCAATTCAAAATGATTTTACATTTATAAAACAGCTATGTGATCAACTTAAAACCAAAGTCAATTTCTTTTTTCTTTTTTTTTTTTTTTTGACAGGCAGGGTGGACAGTGAGAGAGAGAGACAGAGAGAAGAGAGAAAGGTCTTCCTTTTTTTTTGCCATTGGTTCACCCTCCAATGGCCGCCACGGCCGGCGCACCGCGCTGATCCGATGGCAGGAGCCAGGTGCTTCTCCTGGTCTCCCATGGGGTGCAGGGCCCAAGCACCTGGGCCATCCTCCACTGCACTCCCGGGCCACAGCAGAGAGCTGGCCTGGAAGAGGGGCAACCGGGACAGAATCCGGCGCCCCGACCAGGACTAGAACCCGGTGTGCCGGCGCCGCAAGACGGAGGATTAGCCTAGTGAGCCGCGGCGCCGGCCCAAAGTCAATTTCAAGATAAAATTTTTATTCCATCTTGTACATGAGGGGTCAGCAAATTATACAGTCTGCATGGAGATCTGTTTCCATAAATAAAAGTCTACTAGAACAGTCTTACCTATTCATTAAATACTGTCTATGGCTGCTTTTCTGCTATAGAGGTAGAATCAAGTGGTTGCTAGAGTCCATATAGCCCACAAAGATACATCACTTATTAGCTGGCTATTCATAAAGTTTGCTGACCCCTGAATTAACTGCAACCCCTAACTAAGAAAATAATTCTGTACTCTCTGTAGGAGAGGTCTAAGAGATCCAGGTCTTGTTGAAAACTTCCCAAGTTAGGTAGTTAGTCCCAAAGACAATAATTTCCTTTACCTGGAGGTCATTTTGTGGATTCCAGTCTGAATCAAAAATGATGCATGTATCAGCAGCAGTAAGATTAATACCAAGTCCACCAGCACGGGTGCACAACAAGAAGACAAAGCGGTCTGAGTCAGGCTTGCTGAAGCGGTCAATAGCAGCCTGTCGGAGGTTGCCTCTAACCCTCCCATCAATACGTTCATATAAGTACCTGTATAGGAGGTCACATAAAAACCTTGTAAGTGGCTAAGCAGAGGAACAAATCAAGAAAGCAGGCTCGGATCAATATCCTTAGCTGGCCAAAAACCATGTAGCGGAATTGAAACTAAATGTATTACATACTTCTTTTATTACAACTGGCTAACTCTAAACCCAGGCCCTCCAACTCCTCATAGCTTTATGAGCATACAGTAATCATAAGACTAGAATGACTCTTTTCTCACCTTCTCTGGATTAGATAATCCTCTAAGATATCTAAGCAGCGTACCATCTGGGAGAAGATCAGCACTTTATGGCCACCAGCTTTAAGTTTTGGAAGTAGCTTGTCAATAAGAACCAACTTGCCAGCTGAACGAACCATGGCCTGCAGATGGAAGTCATGAGGTATAATATGGCAAGCTTCCCGAAATTCAGTTAGGATTTTTTCTTCTGCACCTGCCAAGAGAAAAATCAAAATTTTATATTGACATTCAGTGGAACATACTAAGGCTTATCTATTTTGGTGGCTTATTTAAGAGTACAAAGGAAAAAAGTTATCTGACTGGAGATAAAACTTTCTCACACATAGAATTTAAGCACCAAAGTTTCTAAATCATCTTCAGTTTTGTTATACAAAATATTCCAAGAACAGAAAACCTAAGTTCTCCTTCATGAAATTCTAAGCAGCAAATCCTATTTAATTTTGAAGATTATGTAGGATCAAAAGGATAGAATAAGAGAAAGACATTCCACCTAAGAACCTTTTTTGAAAAGGAGACCTATTTCTAACTCCCTGTCCCTATCCCCAAATTGGATTGCATCAGTCAGTGCATCCATTTTCCCTGAGGAATATCATTCAGAATATAAACACAGGAAACATAGAAGTTCACATATTTTCCAGGAATTTCCTCACCATTGATGAGATACGGGTGGTTGCAGCACTTTCGCAACTCCATCATTGTGTTGAGAAGATTTGGCATGTTGGTGTGACCTGCTCCTTTGGACAAGAAGGAGAAATTCTTCTCCAAAATAGCCCTATAGTATTTCTTCTGGATATTAGTCAGCTCTACTTCAATAATAGTTTCCTGTTTGGGTGCCAAGTTTTTTTCAACATCTTCTTTAAGCCTTCTCAGCATCATTGGCTTGAGAATGGCCTGTAGCTTTTGAACCTATGGTTTATTACACAGAGAAAAAGAAATCACATTATGTAGAAACACAGAAACAATAAATATTCTCATATTATGTAGAAATGCTGAATTAATAAAATTAGAGCTTTCTAGAATCTGAGGAATATAGATTTTGGACAATACCGCAGATGATCAGCAAGGGATTCAAAGGACTTCAGAACAGTCCTTGATGCTTATAGCCACAGATGTCTGCCTTATACAAACTCCATCTTTTTGTCCTGCATTAGTACCTCATTAGACAGATTTCCTACCTGTTCTTCTGTCTTGAGATCCCCAAAGTCCTTGAGGAATTCTGATTCTGAAGGAAACTGTGAAGGTTCCAAGAAATGAAGTAAACTAAACAGTTCCTCCACAGTATTCTGCAGTGGTGTTCCTGTGAGTAACACTTTGTGTTCCTAGAAATAGAGAAAACAGAATGGTAACATTAAAAAACACAGGGGAATTCTAGGCTTTTCCATCAAGTATAAAATCTTTAGCTCTAGTTTATCTATAAAATGATGGGAATAGACCAGACTATTTTCTTCTGTTTGCTTCCTCCTCTGATAAACACAAGGCACTGAAGAAACCCTTTGGAATTATTTAACATAATAAAAATAATAACAAATATTATAAGTAAATGGTAATTCACACTATGTGTTTACCAATTGCATATGCCTATTCACAATCAACTCCCCCCCCCCCCCCCCAAGATGTCTTAATCTTTGCCTCTCTAGGAAATGCCCCTGTGCTGGATTAAATATGGCTATTAATCTCCTACTGAGGTTCACCCCTTCAATCTAGGTTTGCCTTATAACTTGTTCTGACAAAGGAAATACAGCAGAGGTATACTGTGTGTTTCAGGGCCTACCTCCAAGGCCTTGCAGCTCCCATTTTTGTCCCCTTGGAACACTGCCCTGAGATTACCGTGTAAAGAAGCCTAGTCTGGCCTAACAGGAGATAATTCAGGTGCTCCAGTCAACAAGTAGTATCAATTGCCAGTTTGAGCATTAATGACTTCAGAAAAGTCAGTCAGAACAGCTTAACTCAGCCCAACATAAGTGGCTAAACTAGAGAATCATGAAAAATACACTTGTTGTTTTAAGCTGGTAAGTTTTGGAGTACTTCGCTACCAGGACTAGATAACTAATATATGCTGGATTTTCAGGCCAGCATTCCAATAGGCCATACCTACCACTCAAAACCAAGATTCTGATTCTTTTTTCTTCTCTGCTAAATTAGGGTAATTTCCACAGGGAATTACGGTTAATTCCGAGTTTTCGTTTAAAAGTCAGTGAGAACCTACCAGGTCCATGTGCTTGAGACTATCAAGCAGCTTGCAATTACGGTTCTTCAGTCGATGGGCCTCATCAATGATGACACAACGCCATTCAATCTCACGGAGCTCAGGACAGTCTGACAAGATCATCTCAAAAGTGGTGATCAGGGCATCAAATTTGTATGCACCCGGGATGAGACGCCCCTAAGCATGAAGGCGGTAAAGTCAGAAAAGGCCTAAAATGTAACTAAATGAGTGAGGTGGTCTTCTGAATTACTCTTCTATACTGAGGCACATTTATTAAGAAATACAAACTGAGAGCACCACCCAACTCCATTACTGCTTATCTTCCTGATAAACAGGGACAAATCACTGAATGTAAGATACATTGCTTCTTCAACAAACTCAGCTTCTTGGGAAAATAACAGAGCTCACTGAACAAAGCTGGACATTTTTGACTGTTGTGTGCCTAGCTCATGTATCTCTGCCCTGATCTTTTGTTGGTTAATAATGAATTCCACAAATTTGGGCAATGCTGAAATATATAAGACAAAACTCAGAGTGAAAACAGCTAATACAGAAATATGTTAATATTGATTATTGTCTAATTTATATTAGAATAAAATCATTTGACAAAATTAAGAGGGGCAGGCATTTAGCCTAACTGTTAGATGCTGCTTGGGAAATCCATGATGTAGCACAGCAGGTTATGACGCTGCCTACAATGTTGGATCCCATATCAGAGGGCTAGCTCAAGTCCTGGGTGCCATGTTTCCAATCTAGTTCCCTATTAATGTGCCTGCGAAGGTAGCAGAACATGGCCCAGTTAATTGGGTCCCTGTTACCCACATGGGAGACCCAGATGGAGTAACTGGTTCCTGGCTTCAGTCTGACCATTAAGGGAGTGAACCAATAGATGGTAGATTTCTTTCTCTCTGTCTCTCCCCCTGTTAGTCTACACTTCAAATAAATAAAATAATTCATAAAACAAAAAAAAGCTGCCTGGGACACCTGTATCCCTTAGCAGAGTGTTTGCATTTGAGTGCTTGCTCTGCTTTGATTTCCAGCTTCCTGATAATGCACAACCTAGGAGAAAGGTGGCAGGTGAGGGCAAGTGGCTGTGTCCCTATCACCCACAGAGGAGATTCAGACCGAGCTCTGGGCTCCTGGCTGTGGTCTGACTGAGCCCTGGCTGCTGTGGGCATGTGGAAGGTGATGGAAGTAGTAGATAGAAGATCTCTATCTGTATCTCTTGGCTTTTCAAATAAAATGAAAGCAAATAAAACTTTTTTTAAAAAAAGAACACATTGGAATCAGACATTTAAAAAAAGTCATGAGCTGCCAAACTGACCTAAAGTTTGGTTTGGTACAAATAAAAAGCACAGGAAAAAAAAACCTATAGAAAATCAATTCATAAAACTCAATGTTAGTTGCTGCCGCAGCTCACTAGGCTAATCCTCTGCCTTGCGGCGCCGGCACACTGGCTTCTAGTCCCGGTCGGGGTGCCGGATTCTGTCCCAATTGCCCCTCTTCCAGGCCAGCTCTCTGCTGTGGCCAGGGAGTGCAGTGGAGGAATGCCCAAGTGCTTGGGCCCTGCACCCCATGGGAGACCAGGATAAGTAACTGGCTCCTGCCATCGGATCAGCGCGGTGCGCCGGCCGCAGCGCGCTGGCTGCGGCGGCCACTGGAGGGTGAACCAACGGCAAAAGGAAGACCTTTCTCTCTGTCTCTCTCTCTCACTGTCCATTCTGCCTGTCAAAACAAAACAAAACAAAAACAAAAACAAAAAAACAAAAAAAAAAACCTCAATGTTAACACAAGATGGAGGACACAAATTTTTATTTTCCAATTTGAAAAAAAGAAGGAAAATAATCTTGATGGAAAATTTCAGAAGACTTAAAAAAAAAAAAAAGACAGGGCCAGCGCTGTACTGCAACGGATTAAGTACCATCCCATATCAGAGTGCCGTTTTGAGTCCTGGCTGCTCTGCTTCAGATCCAGCTTTCTGATAATGTGCCTGGGAAGGCAAAAGAAAATGGCCCAAGTGCTTGGGTTTCTGCCACCACATGGGAGACCCAGATGGAGTTCCAGGCTCCTGGCTTTGGTCTGGCCCAGCTACAGCTGTTGTGGCTATTTGGGGAGTGAAACAGCAGATGGAAGATCTCTTTCTCTGTCTTTCCTCCTCTCTGTACTTCTGCATTTCAAATAAATAGATCTTTCAAAAAAATGAAAATAAAAAGGAAAGTTCACTACTGAAGGGGTTAAGAAATTAAAAAGGGGCCAGTGCCGTGGCACAGCAAGTAAAGTGGCTGCCTACAGTGTTGGCATCCCACGTGGGCACCAGTTCAAGTCCCAGCTGCTCCACTTTTGATCCAGCTCCCTGCTAATGCACCTGGGAAAGCAGTGGAAGATGGTTCAAGTCCTTGGGCCCCTGAACCCACATAGGAGACCTGGAAAAACTCCTGGCTCCTGGATTCAGATCAGCCCAGCTCCAGCTGTTGCCACCATTTGGGGAGTGAACCAGCGGACAGAAGATTCTCTTTCTCTCTGCTCCTACCTTTCAAATAAATAAATCTTTAAAAAAAAAAAAAAAAAAGAACTTAAAAAGTAGCTAGAATTTTAGTCTGGGAAATACTTTAAAACTCATCAATATTGGTAAAATTCTATTTAAAAATGTGTATATTCATAAGTAAAGTCAGAACTTCCACTGGATCAAAATGTTTACTGGGTAAAAATAGAGTGAAAAATAAAAATGGCCTGCGTACTGCTGTAAAAAAAATACCTGAAATCATAAAAAAGCCTAAATTAAAGTCTTTTATTCATATATTGTCCCTAAAATGCCAGTTTCCTTGGCCTACTTTCCCTACACCACAGCATTCCTAGGACATGCAACTCACCCGTGAATCTTTGCAGTACATTTCATACTGCTGAATCATCTGCCGGCTGGCCAGACTGCCATGGTACACAATAGTGTTCATCTCTGTCCACGTATTAAATTCTCGCTCCCAGTTAGTGATTGTTGACAGAGGGGCAATGACTAAGAAGGGGCCATGGATGCCCACATTATATACCTCCTGCAAGAAGGCAATGGACTGAATAGTTTTGCCCAGTCCCATTTCATCAGCCAGGATGCAGTTCTGCCTACAGATTTATCATGGGGAGGGAGAAAAAACTATGTTAAAAGATATCATCTCTAAAAAAGAACATACAAAGAAATTATTTCAATAGAAAATGAGTAAAAATAATGCCCAGACTAAGCTTTCATCTAATGAGTCCACTCTTTTACCTGTTATACCAGTTAAAAAGCAGCCAATTGACCCCTTCCAACTGATATTCCCGTAACTGGTTTCTGTTTTTATATTCATGTGATAGCTCCAACTTCTTCCAGGCACTCGCCTGAGGGCGATTCTAAAAAACAGGAAACTTGAATAAATGGGATGGAGACACTAGCAGAATCAGGCAAGACTTACAAGGTAGTTCTAGTAGTTCAAGTCAATTAAAAAATTTTACTGCTTGGATTAAAATATTTAAATTTATGAGATGATTTTTTTTAAAAAAAGATGAAAGAAAAGAAGAAAAACCCACCTTTGTAAGATGCTAGGAAACTTCATTTTTTTTTGGAATAATAAAGTATGTATCCTTTCTAAACAATCTCTACTTCAAGGAAAGACCAAGTAGCAGATGAAATAAACTTATTTTATATAATATTCTGGGGGATGGCATTGTGGGGCAGTGGGTTAAGCTACTGCCTGCAATGCCAGCACCCCATATGAGTACTGGTTTGACTCCCAGTTGCTCTACTTCCAATACAGCTCCCTGCTAATGTGCCTGGGAAAGCAGCAGATGATGGCCCAAGTATTTGGGTCCCTGCCATCCACATGGAAGACCTGGATGGAGTTCTAGGCTCCTGGCAGCCTAGCCCAGCCCTGGCTATTGAAGTCATTTGGGGAGTGAATCAACGGACAAAAAGCTCTCTTTCTTTCTCACTCTCCCTCACCCTTTCTACAACTCTGCCTTTCAAATAAATAAAATAAATCTGTTTTTAAGAAAGAAAGAGAAAACAATGTTCTGGCCAATAAATGAGGAAATGACAGAATTAAAATATTATTACTTTAAAATCTTTAAAGAATGGATCTGGGCAATGATCAAAAATGGCTGATAATATGACAAAACACAACCTGATGGAAATATACACCACTGTCTATGAAGCACTTGACTGGTCTCTATCCCTTATCTTACCAAGAACAGTGATGTCTAACAGTATTTCTCAACATTAAAAAAAATGTGGCTAATAGCAACTATACTGGATGGCATAGCTCTAAACTTATCCATTCATGAAATTATCAGGGACACAGAATATTTTACAAGGCACCAAGGGAAATACAATCAGCAATCTTCAGACTATAGAAGGCTCTACAGAACAAATCATCTGGTTTCTTCATGAGAATACAGTAAAGGAAGGAAAGGAGAAATTAAGAGGGAACCATAAAAATATTTCACAAAGTTGGTGGAAAATGAACTAAAATATATTAAGTCTATTTTGGCACAAAAAATTGTGAAATCTATGCAGTGTTTTCATAATGTGCTTTTTCCATAAACTATTTGAAGACCCTTTATATAAATGAGAATTTTGAAACATATTAGTGATAACAATAAAAACACCTTATTTAGATTCCAATTCAAACAATTAAATGAAAATTAAGACATTCAGGAAAAGGTACAAAATGCTACTTGATAAGGAATGTCTGAATGTTTTCAAGTGTAATAATGCTATTATTTATCTTTCAGGCATAAATACTGAAATATTTACACATAAAATTAAGGAATATGAGATCTGATTTAAAATGATGTAGGAAATGAGAAAAAAATGTGTGAGGAAATACATGACACAGGATTGGCCACATTGTTAGCTTCATGATAGTTACATAATACTATGTCTTCAACTTTTGTTTGTTTAAAAATTTCCATAATATAAAACTAAACCAACAAAAACTCTACAGGGGAAAATTAAATCATTACCTATATAAAACTTTATGCTCTAAATCAGAGGTGGGGAACCTTTTTTTTGGCCAAGGGCAGCTTGGATATTTATAATGTCATTTGCAGGCCATACAGAATTACTAACTTAAAAATTAACCTGCTATAGGTTTGTTGAATTTTAGTCCCACTTGCAGTTGCCATGGCAGGGCCAGATCAAATGATTTTGAAGGCCTTCTATGGTTCTCAGGCTGGATACTCCCTACCCCTGCTCTGTACATTTCAAAACATAAATGTACTTACCATTCTTTTGAGTTCTGGGTGCCTTGACTGGATCCGCTTAAATTCTCTAATCTTGCCCTCATCAACATCCTCTTTTAGCTCCCATGTACTATCCTCATAGGGCAGAGAGCACCATTTCACCAAGTAGTAAATTACAGGCTAGGAGAGAAAAAGCCAATGCCTTAGTAAACAGACTCTGTACTCAGCTGTGGTTACAGGGTAGGAATTTGACTATAAAGTCAAATCACAAAGTGTTGGTATACAAAAGTTGCTGAAAAAGTCAGGTTGAACATACCAACAACAGGGTCACCTACTGATGCACTATGTGTGTCTTTGATCGTTCCTCTAAGTAATTCACCTGAATCTATTCTAGAAGTAAAATTTCTACCCAATTGTTTCTAGAACACTAAGCCCTAAAGCATTATACTCATCAACCAAACAAATGCAAGAATAGTCTTTTTTTTTTTCTTAAAAGATATGGTTCAATCCCATATTTTCCTCCTGGCACGGAGTTTGATACAGAGGAAACCAGGCTACTTTTAGGATGAAGAACAGCGTAAACCCGCAGGAGCACATCATGTGCTGACATCACTGGACTTCTGAGCCCCTACAGTTCTGTGCATTCCAGAGTACTCATCTGGTGGTAAAGAGTTTTCTCTGGGAGCTCCAGGAAGCTAGGAGATAACATAACAGGATCCACTTAAATTCTCTAATCTTGCCCTCATCAACATCCTCTTTTAGCTCCCACATACTATCCTCAAAGGGCAGAGAGCAATGATAACAGGTTTCATTGAACAGAGGTAACTCATATGAGTTAAGAGGAAGAAACGCTGAAGCTCTGACCATAGTACCCTTCTATGTTGACATTCCTCTACAAAGATCAGTGACCAATGGTAACGAAGCTCCTACTTTCACTATTCATAATCACTGCACTTAATGCATTTTCATTTTTGCCTTACGTAAGCAAGAAAGACTTAGTGTAATCAACAAGAATCCTTAATTATCAGTTCATAGAACACTCCCCAAAACAGCAAGCATAAATGTGAAAGTGCTTAACACACTAACAGATCAGGGAATCCCTAGTTAATCTGGCTGGTTTTTAATCTTTCTAACATGTAATGACTCAGGTCATACTCTAGGTCTTATATTTCCAGTACTGTACCTTATTTTTCTAAGGATGGTAATATTTATTTTCACTATTAGATAGTGTAAACTGGATGACAAATTAAACCCAATTTGGTGGTGGTGGGGGGGGAACAGGTAAATAGAATGTTATTATCCAATACTGGCAACATAAATTATAGTATCAGGCTATCAAAATTCTTTCATATGTCATGACAGCTACAACACATTTCAAAGGGGCCTAACCAAAAAGGTCAGTCATTTTTAGAAGAGTAAGTATGGAGGTAGAGAGCATTAAGATGTTCAAGGCTGGAAGGCTGAGATCCTTAAAAAAAAGTTGAGAATTTAAGAGTGTCCTAATAACTGCATGGGTTATTCTCCATTTATCTCCCACAAATGAACACACAGTGAACACATAGTAACTCCCATCCCCAACCCCAAAGCAGAATATATGTTATCTGAAGCATACATGATGGGATTTATAGATGGTGAATTGGAATAGGCCACGGACATCTAAGGCTCTGAGTGATCCTGAAAGCTTATAAAGTAGAGTCAACTTGGGTATCTTATAGAGGGATAAATTTGACTTGCAGGTCCTAAAAGAATGATGTACAGGGGGCCGGCACTGTGGTATAGCAGACATAGCTGATGCCTATGGTGTCAGCATCCCATGTGGGCACCGGTTCAAGTCCTGGCTACTCTACTTCCAATCCGGCTCTCTGCTACGGCTTGGGAAGGTAGTGGAAGATGGCCCAAGTCCTTGGGCCCCTGAACCCACGTGGGGGCCCAGAAGAGGTTCCTGACTCCTGGCTTTGGATTAGCTCAGCTCTAGCTATTGTGGCCATCTGGGGAATGTGGAAAGAAGATCTCTCTCTCTCTCTCTGCCTCTGACTCTCTGTAACTGCCTTTCAAATAAATAATACATCTTTAAAAAAAAAAAAAAGAATGATGTACAGGAGACAGGAGTAAGTAACTCAGATTATAAGTAAGCCCAGCTCACCACCCAGCACTGGCATCTTAACAAGGTTCTGTTGTTCTCTTCTGGTCACTGTGTAAGAAGCAGTCATCATAAGTGATAAATAAATTTTTTTAATGAAATATGACCTTGCAAAGCCAAGCCAGCAACTACTACCTGAAGTGAAAAGAAAGTAGAGTTCTTAAGAAATGTTGGTGGGGGCTGGTGCCGCGGTGTAGTGGGTAAAGCCCCTGCCTGCAGTGTGGGTGTCCCATATGGGTGCCAGTTCGAGTCCTGGCTATTCCATTTCTGATCCAGCTCTCTGCTACAGCCTGGGAAAGCAGTAGAAGATGCCCAAGTCCTTGGGCCCCTGAACCCGTGTGGGAGACCTGGAAGAAGCTCCTGGCTCTGGATCAACACAGCCTTTGCCTCTCTGTAACTCTGCCTTTCAAATAAATAAACAAACAAATAAAATCTTTAAAAAAAAAAAAGATTATCTTACAAAAAAGGAAGAAATGTTAGTTCATAGCCTAAACAGAAGTTTTAAGTAAATTTAAAAGACAGAATATTGAATTCTTTGGTGATTTAGATCTTATCTGACTCTATCTGAAAACTGAAAAAGGCAATTTGTGAAACTGCATCAGAAAGTGCTTTAGCATATGTAAAGTCCATTTCCCAAGCTACAAAAGCTTTAACACAGCAATTTCCAAATCAAGTTACACATGAAAACCCTAAGAGACGAACTTAAAGATCTTGGGGTCCCACCTCAGACTTACTGAATCTGAACTTGTGGGAATGGCATTCCAAAATGTTTTAAAATACAGATTCAAATGCAGCAGATGGTTTACTAACAAATAAAAGGGCATTTAACTAATAGTGAGCTCAGAAAATTCCCAATTCTCAGCAACATGATGTGGAGAAAAGTAGGAGCCTGTACAAGTATTTTTATATCCATATATTTAAAAATTTACATGATATCCTTTTTACCCATCAATTTCATCTCCTACTTTACTACGAGTTCACCCACAATAAAATCTGAGGAAAAATGAGACCAAAGTAAACGATTTTCAGTACTTCAAGCTCCTGAATGTTTCACTTAATAGGAATTTTTCCTTTTAGCCTCTCTCCCTACTCTCTTACCTTCCCATTATCTTTCTAAGGATCCCACAGAAAAATTCAGAAATATCTTTTCAGTCAGTCCAAGGGATTTTTCAGCCATACCTGAAAAATAAAGGATTGGCAAGCGGGCCAGTAGAAATCTATAAGGAACCTTTCATTTTTCTCCACACCCCAACTTACCTCTCCATTGTCCTTGTCAATACTGTGAGACTCATCTAATATCCTATCCACCTCTACGTAGTCTGGATTAAAGGGCTCTTCATCCTAGATGTCATGAAACAAAAATAAGACCAAGAAAGAAAATCACTATCTGGCAACCCAATCCCTTACACACTTCAGCTTTAGCAGATGTTCTTGTTTTTAATTTTTCTTTAAAGAGAACAAAAGCCACTTGATGGGAGTCTCCCATTTTCACAATATCAAATCCTATATACTTATCTGGGTCTTTACCTATCTTCTCATCTGTTATCAGAGAAAGTATCTCTTCTCCCTCACAAAGGTCATGTATGCTCTGAATTCTATCCTGTTTTTTAAAAAGTGCTGTGTTCTAGATTTTTAAATGTTTATTTATTTTCATCTACTTGAAAGGCAGAGCAAGAAAGAGAAAGTCAGAGAGAGAGAGAGACAGACAGAGACAGAGACAGACAGAAAGAGAAATATCTTCCATCTGCTGGTTCACTCTCCAAATGCTAACAGCCAAGACTAGGATAGCCAGAAGACAGGAGCTTGGAACTCCAATGGGGTTTCCCACATGGGTGGCAGGGGCCCAAGCACTTCAGCCATCATCTGCTTCCTCCCAGGATGCACAGACAAGAAGCTGGATCAGAAGCAGACGTGCTGGAACTCTAACCAGCACTCCAATATGGGATGCAGATATCCCAAGTGGTGACTCAACCCACTGCACCATAATGCCTGTACCGAATTCTACCCCTCTTCTTTACTTAAAAATACCTCTTCACTAAATTGTTCCCATAAATAAATATGATCCATTATTTCACGTCTTTAAAAAGATTTCCCTTAACTCTACATCCTTCTGAAACTATTTTTCTGCTTTCCTTCATATGCAAATTTCTCCCAAAGTTTTAAATACACATTATGTTCACTTCTTCATCTCCTTCATCTATCCATCCATTCCACCCTTCCTTCCACTTACATCACACAATTAAAATAACTTTTGTCAAGGTCATGAATAACCTCCAAATTGTCAAATACAATGGATTATCTCTTTACTCATGTATGCTGTGCGTTTAACTAGTAGTAACCCTGGATATGGGAAATTACAGTTCCTTCATCACTATTTCTATTAATACTGCATTAGAAAGCTGAGAAAATAAATGTTCCCTCTTAAAGATGCTACTTATGTCTACAGATACCATTAATAGGAAAGAATGACATTAGAGACTAAAGAATGCATTAAGTGGACCAAAGATCACTTTTCTGTTTTGAAAATATTTCATGCACACTGAGGAAGTCAATCTCAAAATACTATGCTCTCTAACCAAAAAACAGAGCAAGGGGCAACAAAGTAAGGAAAGTCAATGACCAAAATTAAAACTTTTAAATATACAAACCAACTGTTACATAATTAACTAAGGCTGACAACCCTAGTAATTTGTGCATTATGAAAGAAATGACACTCAATACTTGTTAATTACCTCATGGAAGAAGTGTCTCATCTGTGCCATTTTGGTTTTGAAGCGTTTTAGTTTCTGATGAATCCTCTTATCTTTCTCTAGCTGGGAGATCGTGGCCCATTCACAGTGCAGATAGGAGCTGAAGGGAATGGAAATAGCCAGTTATGGTGCAAGAAAGGCAGATTGGCAAGCTAATTTGGAGATTAGCCAGAAGCAGACACACAAGTGTGTGCTTGAACTGAGACATATCTTAGGTTAGTGCTTCTGAAACTTCAATTTGCTCACAAACCACCTGGTATGGGTATGCTTGAAAAGTCCACATTTCTAAACAGTACCCAAATAATGCTAATTCTGCTGGTCCATAAATCACATTTTGAATAATAAATCTTAATGGCAGACTAAGAGATGATTACAAACAGTCAGTTTTTATTGGGAACCACCCTTATCCTACCTTCCTGCAAGAAAATAGTGACAGTCACAGCAGTACCTGAAATTTTCTCTGAAGACACATTTTCCCATTAAAAATGGCAATTTGGGCTAGGAGACTATAAAAAAGGGCCACATTCCCACCCAAGATATTCTACACAGGAGGAATTTTTACAACCCTGTGGAGTTTAGGGTGAAAAGCTTTTTGCACAGGTCACATACTAGTTCTTGTACTTGACAAAGAATTCTTCAGCTTCAGTGTATTGTCCAGAAGGAAGCTATGAAGAAAGAAAGGAATTATAGTCAATAATCCATTACCTGTTTAAGAACTTCTAATTGTAACCATAAATGGCAGAACTTCATATTGATGCTTCCTTAATATATTATTGATTCAGCCACCAAGGAACTAATCTGGTACTTCAATACTAGATGTGTAATAATTAGAAATATGCCCGTACTCATTCCTGACAGATAAGTAAAAAAGAGGTATAAGATAGTTCCTGATTTGGAGCTAACTATCCACCATCATCTCTCTCAATTATACCCTAGCAATATATCCTGACACTGAAAGGTACTCAATAGATAAAGCCTGTGAATGGAACATTATGGGTTGATAATAAACATATCAAGGCCTTACCTCTTTCTTCACAACCCGCATAGAAAGCACTTTGTCTACAATGGCTGCATCTTCTTCACTGGGATTCTCCTGCAGCAAAAGAGGTGGTTAGTCTACAAATCATTGTGAAGAGCAAGAGAAATCTCATAGATTTCTTAAGCTCTCAGCTTACCACAAAGAACTGCATGGAAGGCAAAGTCTCCCCATCTGGTTCTTGCACAGGTTCAGGGAGGATAGGCTCAGGTTTTATTGGACCAGTTACATCTACCTCTTCTTCTTCTTCATCATCTGTGATTTTTATATCTAGGTCCTCAGTGTATTTTTTTCGCTTAACTTGGCGATTGGAGCGTCTCTTCTGTAGAGAAAAAAAAAGTTAAAATAACTAAGTTTCTCAAAGAGGAAAAAATTAAAATTATTTGCCTATAATCATATACTTAGATTTTACCCAAAAATTTACTTGCAAAATCACCAAAACATAAAGAGCTTTGTCAAGGCATGTGATTTATTTTTTTATTTATTTTTTTTTTTTGACAGGCAGAGTGGACAGTGAGAGAGAGAAACAGAGAGAAAGGTCTTCCTTTGCCGTTGGTTCACCCTCCAATGGCCGCCGCTGCAGCCGGCGCACCGCGCTGATCCTGGCAGGAGCCAGGAGCCAGGTGCTTTTCCTGGTCTCCCATGGGGTGCAGGGCCCAAGCACCTGGGCCATCCTCCACTGCACTCCCTGGCCATAGCAGAGAGCTGGCCTGGAAGAGGGGCAACCGGGACAGAATCCGGCGCCCCAACCGGGACTAGAACCCGGTGTGCCGGCGCCGCAAGGTGGAGGAAGGGCATGTGATTTATGACCTGTGCTTTCCCCAAGACCCTTCTAGGAAGTATGTAAGGCTAAAATATTTTTAATAATATTAAGAAATTATTCTCCATTTCACTCTCATTTTCTCATGAGTATGTTTTATATATAACTATTACACATGTACTACTTTGCTGAATTGCTTTATCAAAGGCCAGGAATCCGCTGAGAAACTTGCATACTCCTGGTAAGAAGTTCTGAGAAACTAAAACTGTGCACTAAAGCTATAGAGTACTGTGTATTTTACATCAGGAGCAAAGGAACAAAAATAATTTGTTTTTGATTCTGCATTTTTGTTTCAGTTTTACAGTTGCTTTTGTTTTAACAAACAGAATTATATATGTATTGTTCTGCCATGTACTGTTTTAGTGCTATGGTTTGCATATTAATTTGAATGGCCACCAAAGGCCTGTGAGTTAAAGGTTTGATCTCCAAAGTCCTTTGATAATGGCATTATGGAGGTGTGGTGGAAACCTTAATCCAATCACAGTTGTCTGGGAACAGGTCTCTGGGAGATGACTGAATTATAATTGGCCTGAAGGTGGGGTTCTGGTGATTAGTTCCTAAGAGACAACACATATACACACACATGCTCCCTCTTGCCATGTGATGTTTTGAGCAACCTAATGACCATGCCAGCAACAATGCCCTCACCAGGTGCCCAACCAATGGGGCCACCTAGTTTTGGACTGTGAACCTGCAGAATTCTGAGCCAAAATAAACACGCTTTCTTTATAAACTTACTTGTTTGAGGTTTTTCTTTGTAGGAACAAAAAGCTAATATACTTAGTTAACAATATTTCTTGAGGATATTTTCCATATGGTAAAGTTTATACATCTGCCTTATACTTTCAAGTAGCTGAATAAAATATTTAAGTAATTTAAGTAATATGACTCAACAAAAAATTGGGGGAAGAAAGATAAAATTATTTTTCATTTTTCTTTTTTTAAAGATTTATTTATTTATTTATTTGAAAGGCAGAGTTGCAGAGGCAGAAGCAGAGAGAGAGAGAGAGAGAGAGAGAAAGAGAGAAGTCTTCCATCCACTGGTTCACTCCCCAAATGGCTGCAACAGCCGAAGTTGGGCTGATCTAAAGGCAGGAGCTAGGAGCTTTTTCGGGGTCTCCCATGCGGGTGCAGGGTCCAAGGACTTGGGCCATCTTCTACTGCTTCCCCAGGCCATAAGCAGAGAGCTGGATTGGAAATGGAGCATCCAGGACTCAAACTGGCACTCATATAGGATGCTGGCGCCGTAGGCGGTGGCTTTACCCACTATGCCACAGCACCAGTCCCAACAAGATTATTTTTCAAACACAACTGTATCTCTAGGAAGCTCCAAAACATTGGATCAAAGAACTACTGAAACTGATAAAAATTTGTTTTGCTATAAAATTAATTTCTGAAAATCAATATTATTCCTATATAGTCATCCAGAAAATAAAATTAAAGATCCCATGCATGAATACACAAAGATTTTCTAAAGACTTAAATTTAATGATACATATAAAATCTATTTGAACAAAACTTTAAAACACTATAGAAATAAAAGATGACTGAATAATTCTTAATTATTACGAATTCTTAATTAAGTCTTCAGAAAGACTTAACTCTCCTCAATCATATCATTCTGACAAAGTAAAATCAGCATTTTTTTAATTCAATAGGTTGATTCTAAAATTCAAACAAACATTTAAAAATAACTTGTAAAAACATAAAACAGTGGGACTTACCTACAGATATAAAGGACAATATAAAGCTATACTAATTAACACAGTTTGACATCTCCCCAAGAAAATATTTAAAGGAAAATGTGGAATAGTGTCCAAATAAAGACTGGAATACTTGTGTTCATTTTGCATACAAGAAAAATGGTACTTCTAATCAGTGAGCAAAAGGTGTATTATTTTCTATAAATGGAATGAAAATAACTGGCTAGGCATGTAAAGGATATTTTACTTTTGGATATTTTTACTTTGGTAAATATTGTTACAACAGATGTATCACTGCAGATTTTTGAGAATATAGTCACAGGTAATTTCCCAGGTGTAGAGTCACGGAGTCAAAGGGTATTAACATTTTCAATTTTGTTTCTGGGCATACATTCTGAGACTTGGCATGAGGTGATTTTGTTATGGAACATCATGGCGTATGCTTACAGAATCTAAGACAGCTACCACATCACTAGGTGATATACTCTAACAGGACCACCGTCGTAGGTGTGGTCCATGGAAATGTCGTTATGCAATGCATGACTGTATAATAAAAACACTGACTCCCCAGAAAGACTGTCCAAATTACCACTCCCACAACTATGTGAAAAGTGTTCCTTACATTGCCAGCATTAGTATTACCCCCTGTAATGGGCTGAACTGCGCTCTCCTTCCAATTCATGTGTTGAAGCCCTAACCCTGACATCTCAGAATGTGGCTGTATTGGATGTAAAGCCTTTCGTACAGTGAAAATGAGACCACGAGAACAGACCCTAATCCAATGACTGGAGTCTTTATAAGAGAAAATTTGGACACACTGAAAGATATCAGAGATGTGTATTAACAAAAATAATGTGAGGTAGCCATCTGTAAGTCAAGGAGAGAGGCTTCAGGAGAAACCAAAACCACAGACCCTTTGATCTTAGACTGGCAGCCTCTAAAACAGTGAGAAAATAAGTTACCTGTGGTATGAATTACCTGGTTTGTGGTATTTTGTTTTGGTACTCCTAGTAATTTAATATACCACTTTCTTTCTTTATTAAAGATTTATTTATTTATTTATTTGAAAGACAGAATCACAGAGAGGCAGAGGCAGAGAGAGAGAGGTCTTCCATCCGCTGGTTCACTCCCCAGATGGCATGGCTGGAGCTGTGCCAATCCAAAGCCAGGAGCTTCCTCTGGGTCCCCAATGTGGGTGCAGGGGCCCACGGACTTGGGCCATCTTCTACTGTTTTCCCAGGCCATAGAAGAGGGCTGGATAGGAAGTGGAGCAGCCGGGACTCCAACCAGCACCCATATGGGATGCCGGCACTGCAGATGGCAGCTTCACCTGCTACACCATAGTGCTGGCCCCTAATATACCACTTTCTAAATTGTACTAAATCTTTGTTTTCTTTGTATATAAAAATATGTCCTGTTTATTTGTTAAGAAATAGTTAACTCCTTGCTATTGAATTTAACAAATATGTATACAACTCTCTGATGTGTGTTCTTACCATGAAGTAAGAACTGTTCTATATATTTAATAAATATTTACATCTAATTCTCATAACAACTTATCTGCACTTTATAGGTAAGGAAATTGAGGCACCAAGAGGTAAAGGAATTTGCTCAAGACAACAATGCTAATAAATGAAAGAGTTAAGATAAGAATCCAAGAAATTTGGCTCCAAAATCTATGCTCTTAATCACTGCCTGCTTATGGTATTCTTTGTTGTTATACCATACACAATTTTTATATATCAAGTGATATCAAACTTTCCCTTTATGACTCTAATTTTAATATCTTCCCTATAAGTATCTCTTCTACTTGATGATTATAAAACTGTAACCAGGGGTTGGTGCCATGGTATAGTAGGTTAAGCCTCCCCTGTGGTGCTGACACCCCATTTGGTTGTTGGTTTGTGTCCTGTCGTGGCTGCTCTACTTCCAATCTAGCTCCCTGCAAATGGCTGGGAATGTACTGGAATATGGCCCAAATGCTTGGGCCCCCACACCCATGAGGGAGATGCAGAAGAAGCTTCTGGGTACTGGCTTTGGATCAGCCCACCCTGGCCCTTACAGTCATTTGGGGAATGAACCAGCAGACGAAGATCGATCAATCTCTCTCTCTCTGCCTCTGTAACTCTGCCTTTCAAATAAACAAATAAATCTTAAAAAACAAAAAACTATACATGGATTCAATTTTTTTGCACCAAAATAAACATCTTTTAATTCCAGTTTTCCATGACCTTTCTAAAATGCCCTTTATATTTTGATGCCTGGTTGTTTTTCTTTTTCTTTTTTTTTTTTTTTTAAAGACTTGTTTATTTATTTGAAAGGCAGTTACAGAGTCAGAGGTAGACACAGAGAGAGAAGTCTTCCATCCACTGGTTCACTCCCCAAAGGGCCACAACGGCCGGAGCTGGGCTGATTCAAAGCCAGGAGTCAGGAGCTTCTTCTGGGGCTCCCACAATGGTGCAGGGGCCCAAACACTTGGGCCATCTTCTACTGCTTTCCCCTGTGCATTAGCAAGGAGTTGGATTGGAAATGGAGCAGCCAGGTCTTGAACTGGCACCCATATGGTATGCTGGCACTGAAGGTGGAGGCTTTACCTGCTATTTCACAGCGCCAGCCCCAACCTGGGTTTTTATTTTATCTTTCCTTTTCAAAAATGTTCCAGCAATTCTCATGTTAATTCCCCCCAGAATAACCAAGTAATTATTTTGTCAATGTGCTGAATATATGTTAAAAAAGAGAGGCATTTATAAGTATATAGTTAAGAGAGACAGTTAGAGTTCATTTAATTCAGACCTTCATTTACGGATTGGGAATTCAGACCCAGGTAAGTCACATAAATTGGCCAGGCCACCTACAGAGTTCCTTAAAAATACCATGGATCTCCTGAATATTAATACAAAGCTCTTTCCATGATTGGAAACTGGAGCCAAAGATGGTACTCTAAGGCAACAAAACAGAGAAAAGGACTAAAGTTCTTCTGGTTTGGTCTCTTACAAGGTAGAAAGAAACTGTGTACACTCCCCCACTCCAACCCCTACCCTCAATTCAGAGTCAAAACTCTGAAGTGTAGAAAGGTAAAGTGGAGGCCGGCGCCGCGGCTCACTAGGCTAATCCTCCGCCTAGCGGCGCCGGCACACCAGGTTCTAGTCCCGGTCGGGGCGCCGGATTCTGTCCCGGTTGCCCCTCTTCCAGGCCAGCTCTCTGCTGTGGCCAGGGAGTGCAGTGGAGGATGGCCCAGGTGCTTGGGCCCTGCACCCCATGGGAGACCAGGAAAAGCACCTGGCTCCTGGCTCCTGCCATCGGATCAGCGCGGTGCGCCGGCCTCAGCACGCCGGCCACGGAGGCCATTGGAGGGTGAACCAACGGCAAAGGAAGACCTTTCTCTCTGTCTCTCTCTCTCACTGTCCACTCTGCCTGTCAAAAAAAAAAAAAAAAAAAAGGAAAGGTAAAGTGGAGCAGCTCCTGTGGCTTAGCGGGTAAAGCCACTGCCTGAAGTGTTGGCATGCTATATGGATGCCAGTTCAAGCCCGGCTGCTCCACTTCCAATCTAGCTCTCTGTTATGGCCTGGGAGAATAGTAGAAGATGGCCCAAGTCCATGGGTTCCTGTACCTGCCTAGAAGACCCGGAAGAAGCTCCTGGCTTCGCATAGGCTCAGTTCCAGCCATTGAGGCCATCTGGGGAGTGAACCAGTGGATGAAAGACCTCTCACTCTCTCTCTGTTACCCTGCCTTTCAAATAAATAAATAAGTCTTTAAAAAAAGGTACTATACTGACATCATCACAAGAACAATCATTTCATATGACTAGCTTAGTTTTTAAAACACTGGAATTTGGGAAAACAAGTATTCCTATTCGTAAAATAATATGCTTTTTGTCCTAAAAAGACAAAAATTTAAAAGACAATGACCATGCCCACTTTCCTTCTAGGTGTACATCTGGTTTAGAAAAACTGAAGAAATATGCATGGATTTATAGTCTATTTCTGGCTTGTTTGACATAATTAAAAATTACTTTTCTACAGGTTCAATTCCCTTTATCCTAAATGCTTAGGACAAGTGTTTCAGATCTGGGAGTCTTTTTTGGATTCTGGAATATTTGCATATATATATAATGAGGTATCATGGGAATGGGACTCTAAGCCTAATCACAAAATTCATGTTCTACATATATCTTTGGCATTTAGCCTAAAGGTAATTTTATACAATATTTTTAGTGCACCTGCATTTTAACTGCAACCTGTCACACAAGATCAGGTGTGGTATTTTCCACCTGTGGCATCACGTCAGCACTGAAAAGTTTCAGAGTCTGAATGTTTGGATTAAGGATGCCCAACCAGTACTCAATTATGTAGGGATACTTTTACCTGAATGCTGCTTTCTTCATCTTCCCGGGGTGATTGTGCAGGCATGACTTCCACATCTGAATTATCAGATGAGGTATTACGTTTTCTCTTCTTACCCACTACAGGAGTGATGGTGCTAAGAAGGAAAAATCAAACTCATTTTTAGTGAGGGCAAGGAAAAGTTAGGGGTGAAAACCCAACATAATTATAGGGTGGGCTCTTGCACAGTAGTTAAGACACTGCCCGGGATGCCCACATCCCCTGTCAGAGTGCCTGGGTTTGAGTCTCAGCTGCATTCCTGCCAACACACACCCTCGTAGGCGGCAGATGATGGCTCAAGTACTTGGGTCCCTGCCACCCAGATGAGAGACCTGGATTGAGTTCCTGCCTCCTGACTTTGGCCTGGCTAGCCCTGGCTTTGTGGGCATTTGGGGAGTCAACCACTGGATGGAAGACCTCTCTTTTTTCTCTGTATTCCAGTCTTTCTGCCTTTCAAATAAAGTGAAAATAAAGAAAAAACAACAAAAAATATAGTTAATCTGAACTATCATATACCAAGTTTCCAGACAGAAGCATTTGGATATTTAGTCCATGATACATTCAGATATTAAATATGGTGTTCGAAAAAAGAAAATATGTGTATTGTAAACCACTGAATGATCTTTATACTAGATCTGACAAATCACTGCCACCAGTATGTTCACAAATCCTGAAGAAAGGTAGCATAAAATAGAAAGAATGCTGGTTTAAGACTAGAAGGTTGTGGTCCAACATCACGGCACAGGCAGGTTAGGCCACTGCCTGCAATGCTGGTGTCTCATATAAGCGTGGATTTGAATCTTGGCTGCTCTGCTTCTGATCCAGCTCCCTGGGGTGCAACTGGAAAAGCAGTGAAAGTAGCCCAACTATTTGGGCCCTGTCACCCATGTGGGAGATCTAGCATATGATTTTGCATCTTGGCTCTACTTCTCATCAATGCATACCCTGGGAGGCAGTGATAGCTCAAGTGATTGATCCTTGCCATCCACGTGGGAGAACAGAATTCTGTTTCTAGCTCTAGCACAGGTCAGCCTCAGCTGTTACAGGTATCTGGGGAGTGAACCAGTAGATGGGATCTCTCCAACTCTCAAATTTAAGACAGAAGAGAGGGGCTGCTGCCTGCAGTGCCAGCATCCCATAGGGCACCAATTTGAGACCCGGCCGCTCCACTTCTGATCAAGCTCTCTGCTATGGCCTGGGAAAGCAGTGGAAGATGGCCCAAGTGCTTGGCCCCTGCACCCGAGTGGGAGATCCGGAAGAAGCTCTTGGTTCTCAGCTTTGAATGGGAACGGCTCCAGCCATTGCAACCATTTGCGGAGTGAACCAGCATATGGAAGATCTCTCTCTCTCTCTCTGGCTCTGCCTTTCAAATAAATAAATAAATCTTAAAGAGAGAGAGAGACAGACAGACAGACAGAAAGACACTAACATGGCAGCCAGTTTCATTAACACTGCCTGAGACAGACACTGATTACTGAAATCTTCTCCAAGTCACAAAAACAGGGTGGCTATATCTCTAGCAGTTCTTTTTCTTTTTCACTAGAGTGGGTGTAAAAGGGGTCATAAGAAATCACTTTCAGACTTCAGTGATACAAAATTGAGAATATATAAATACAGAGTCATAGCTTTTAAAGGTAACCCCCAACACAATGATTGGCTATCTTTCCTGTGCCTTAGTGGTTTCCACTTATTTATTTATTTATATTAAAGATTTATTTATTTGAAAGTCAGAATTAGAGAGAGGGAGAGAGATCTTCCATTCAATGGTTCACTCCCCAGAGGGCCACAATGATCCAGTCTGGGCCAGGCCAAAGCCAGGAGCTTCTTCCAGGTCTCCCACATAAGTGGTAGGGGCCCAAACACTTTGGCCATCCTCTGCTGCTTTTCTAAGACCATTAGCAGGAAGCTGGATTGGAAGTAGAGCAGCCAGGACACAAACTTGAGACCATATGGGATGCCGGCGTCACAAGCGGCAGCTTTACCCGCTACACCATAACACTGGCCCCCAGTGTTTTCCTTTTAAAACATGCTAACTTGTAAATTTCTGTTTAATCATATAAACACTGGGACAGAGAAAATAAAGGCCTTATTTTCTATGATAGGACACCTTGAACTGTGTAGTGACTCAACACAAGTTCTTCTCCACATTATTGAAAAATGAGTGCATTACCCACAAATATCCCAGCCAAATAGCAAGGCTACTCACTTGAGTTTACTCTTGCCCTTTGTTTTGGAGGCTCCAGATGTTTTGCTTTTCTTTGGCTTTTCTTCCTTCAGCCTCTCCCCAGTGCTCTTCTTCCTACGTTTCTTCTCACCTTCCTCCTCAGGTCGAACACTGGGCAACTCGTCCTCATTCAGGACACGAGGTATGTTCTGCTCACCCCGGGCACGAGCCCTAGCGATGGCCTCTGCTACAATCCGATTTGCTTTCTCTTGCTTCTTCTGGTGCTCCAACCTTCGGTTTTCCTCCATTCCTGTCTTTCCCGTGTGAGGAGCAGAGTTTGCTGGTGATGACAGAGCTGCCACTTCACTGGCACTTAGAACTTTAACTACAGAGAGCCCAGAAGAGGCCCCTTGGGAAGAGCCAGCCTATAGAAATAAAGATGCTAAAATTTCAATGTGTCTAGTTAAATGGCCTCAATAAAACAAGTTCTGAAACAGGCTAAAACCAGTTCTCTAGTTTCTCAAGAACCAGGCTCTGAATCTAGACATATTTTTTAAAATGTGTTTTTTTGGCAGGAAAGAGGTGAGAAAAGACAAAAATTCTGTCAAATCAAATTTCAATATCCCTTTGTCAAGCTCTCCTAGCAATACCTACTTCAATTATCTTAGAAAAATTGTAATTAATATAGCCATTATTGGCCTCTGGCAAAAAAGAAAAAAAAATACAAGTTCTATTTCCTGGAGGGCAGAGGGATTATTTATTTCACCTTCACAGAAGGGTAATTTCTAATTGTTTTCACTTCAAAATGATACCAGGAAAGACTGTATGTGAAACATTCAAATACGAAAATCATATCTCATCCTAAACTCAGTGAGTCTCTGATCTTTCCATGATATAATTAAAATAAGATTTCCATGGGTGAAAGAAATAAAAGTCTCCATCTCAGTTCAGAAGTATAAATCTAGAATAATGCCACAAGCAACAGTAAGTGGCTATTGAAAGCAACAGCAAGGGTCTAAGAAGTTTGCTTTTTTCCCTTACTATGTAATTCTCTCACCTGTGGCTGCAGCACCATCTTGAGTGGCACTGAAAGTCTTTGTCCTGGACTTTGTCCTGGTCCCATGATCTGAGCCTGCTGCACAGAGGACAGAGTCAGTGGCTGGGTTGCAGGTGGCTGTTGGGGCTGTGGTTGCGAAGATGGAGGTTGTGGTACAATCTGGATTTTTTGCTGTGGCTGTTGCACCTGCAGCTGGATAGTTACTACTTTGGCTGGCTGCCCCTGGGCATTCTTGGCTTGAGTTAGGGCTGCCAACTGGTTGCCCTGTAATACTATCTTGCCTGGTAGGCTCCCTAGCACAACATGCCGATGTCCTTGGGGACCTCCAGACTGTGGCTGCTGGAGGACCAGGGTGATGCGTTTCGATTCACCCTAAAGTGAAAAAAGGAAATTGCAAGAGAGTTACAATATTAAAGAATGGTATACCCTGAAATATTTATACCAGTTTTCTTCATCCTAGAGTCACAAAAATTAAGGGTCAGAAGACATAGTAACATTGTGTTCATCTACTTATCCACAACATCTCTGCCCAGCAAATATCCAGGCTATTTTTTAAAAACTCCTAATGGATGGGAGGCTCACTACCTTCTAAGACAGTCATCTCACATTAATGGAAATCTTTTAGAACAAAAGACCTTATATTGAAGTCTGCCTCCTTGTGGCTTCTTCCCACTGGTTCTATTTATTTTAGTATTGTCTGCCTATCTCAACTCTTCTGGCCCTTTATTCAGAGGACGGAACTAGCCTTTTTACTGAGCAAAGTTAGAGGGGATGATCTTAGTAAAATACATAGGAAAACAAATAATGCTTTTACAAGTCTTGCAAATATAAATAAATAATTTGCCAAAGATGTTTCTTTGTTGGCATAGGATCCTATATTTCATGAAACTTTCTATCATACATTGTTGTAAATTTTTGCTTAATGTCTATGGTTCCTGACAGACTAAGCTCTCTAAGCACAGGGATTGTGTCTGTCTGATTCAGCACCAGGTAGACACAGTAGAAACATGCAGTGTAAGTGCAGAAAATATGTTAACATTAACTGCTTTCATCTGGCAAGAAATAAGCACGTCACTGTCAACACCAACTGATAAAATGCACAGACAAGGTTTCCCAGAGAGAGCTTTCATGCACACTCACTCTCACAAAACTGCTAGGCCCACTACAAATCCAAAATTCACCTCCCCCTTTCAATCAAGTCACCTGGGTAGGTGTAGAGGTCAGTGTAACTGCAGGCTTCAGAGGGGGCCCTGTGGCCCCAGGGTTTCCAGCAGGAGCTGAACCCTTCACTGGCTGGAGGACCAGCTGCTTTACTGGTCGGCTGGGCTGGACAATGCGCTGAACAGCAGCCTGGTTCCCAGGGACCTTGGCGGCCAACACTGTATTACCAGAGACAATGGAGACACCTTGTCGAAGGGGTGTGCCAGTTAGCACTTTGGTAAAAGTGACTTTTCCACCATTGGCTGTGCCAGCCACCAAGGGCTGAGTTGTGCTGGTGATACCTTGGGCCTGAATTTGTGCCACATGGGCACCAGTGACTGAGGAGCTTGGTGGGGCCTTAAGAATAACAATCTTAGGGGCTGACTGAGGTGGCTGTCCTCCAGTGGTACTAGAGGGAACAGCTGTAGCAGAGACACCCATGAAAGGATTCCCCTGGCTCAGGATCTCCTGGCTCTTGGAGACCTGCAAAAGTCCCGACGTTGGCGTCGATGTCTGTAAGACAGGTTGGGCTGGCTGCTCCTGGCTGGCGGGCTGAGTGGTATAATCATGCAAGGTTAAAGATTCAGGAGCTGGAGCTGCGGATTCTTTGGGAAGGTCTGTGGGGGTTGTTTCCTCTGGTGGGGGGACCAGGTCACTTGCTGATGGATTCCCCACATCACCACTTCCACCATCCTGGTTCATCTGGTCCAAGGAGTCCAGAGAGCTTGGCAGTCCAAGTGCTTCCTCAATGGGGTCTTGGGTGACCTGGTTAAAGCTGTCATCAGTCAGAGAGTCCAGGCCAAATAAATTTGGGTCATCAAACAGGTCCATGATGGGGTCTGCCATCTTGGGAAAGTAATGGATGCTGTTTCTCCAAGTTCTGGGGAAGGGAAGGGGAGGGGGGGTATTGGTTCTCCCCTCCCCTCCCCTATCAAGAGAAAAATGTACACAATGGAAAAAGGATTAATCTTCAAGTAAAGAGGCAAGTAACATGTGCATGTCAGATTGTCCTGACCTTCATGGAACAAGATGGCTAGGTCTTCAGAGGAAGATGGTGGAAGTCCTGTTGCAGGAATACAAACACAAATGAAAAATAAGCAGTTGGCGACCTCGGAGAAAATTTCTCTTGATTTAATACATTGAAATAATAAAAGAAGGAAATCTATGGAAAGGCAGATAACAGAAAGAACACCCACATTTCTGCTTCAAAACTAAAAGAAACAAACTACCCCCTTTTGGAGTTCTTACACCAACACAGTCTGAAGCTTCTTTCTGTCAAGAGCATTCAGCTGTATCTGTCCATTCCTTTTCACAATTTTCATTCTTACGTGGAGATTAGGAAATTTAAAATTAATTCACCTTCTATTTTCAGTTCTTAGACTGGCAGAACTTAAAAATATACCATCAGCACTTCAGTGAATATAGATAAAAGTTTCTGGATAGATGAGGGAACTTCAAAAAGTTTATAGAAGCCGGCGCCGTGGGTCACTAGGCTAATCCTCTGCCTTGCGGCGCTGGCACACTGGGTTCTAGTCCCGGTCGGGGCGCCGCATTCTGTCCCAATTGCCCCTCTTCCAGGTCAGCTCTCTGCTGTGGCCCGGGAGTGCAGTGGAGGATGGCCCAAGTGCTTGGGCCCTGCACCCCATGGGAGACCAGGAGAAGTACCTGGCTCCTGGCTTCGGATCAGCGGCGGCCATTGGAGGGTGAACCAATGGCAAAGGAAGACCTTTCTCTCTGTCTCTCTCTCTCACTGTCCACTCTGCCTGTCAAAAAAAAAAAAAAAAAGTTTATAGAAAATGTCTACTTTGGGGCAAAAATTTGATGCCCATGCTAAGTGTTCTGGCTTATAAATTTTCCTTATATTTTAGATATTTTTACTGAATACTGTCAAAAGTGACCACTTTTAACAGAGCTCACAGTACAAAATCACCAAGATCATAGTACAATTTTACTCAGCAAGTTTTGCAAACTTTATTCTAATTGGCAATTAACAAATCAATTAAACTATATATATTATCATGTTCTAGGTTTGACACCAGGTTGCTCCACTTCCAATCCAGCTCTCTGCTATGGCCTGGAAAACTGCAGAAGATGGCCCAAGTCCTTGGGCCCCTACACCCGCCATGTGGGAGACCCAAAAGAAGCTCCTGGCTTTGGATAGGCGCAGCTCTGGCCATTATGGCCAATTGAGGAGTGAACCAGCAGATTAAAGACCTCTTTCTCTCTCTCTGCCTCTCTTCTCTCTCTGTGTAACTCTGAATTTCAAATAAATAAATAAATCTTAAAAAAAAAATCATGTTCTAAAGTCACCTTTCTCATATTTAAGATTAAAAACTTCCTTTGCAGGGCCAGCCCAACGTGGGGCACAACGAGTTGAAGCCCCAGCCTGCAGCACCAGCATCCCATATGGGCGCTAGTTCAAGTCCCAGCTACTCCACTTATGATATAGCTCTCTGCTATGGCCTAGGGAAAGAGTAGAAGATGGCTTGAGTTCTTGGGCCCCTGCACCAGTGTGGGGGCCTGGAGGAAGCTCCTGGCTCCTGGCTTCGTATAAGCTCAGCTCTGGCCATTGTGGTCATTTGGGGAGTGAACCAGTGGATGGAGGACTTTTCTCTCTCTGGCTCTAGCTCTTTCTATAACTCTTTCAAATAAATAAAATAAATCTCTAAAAAATACTGTTAAAAAAAACTTTCTTTGCAAGAGATTAATCATTTTGTTTCCAATTTATATTCTCAACTTTTTCCTTACCATTTCCTATATTATATCCTGCATTCCAGGCCAACTATGGCAACCAGACTATATAGTTCCCTTAATGTGATTACTATTTCCTTAGTTTTACCTATTATGCTGTAGCTTCTGCCTGGAATACCCCCTCTCTCTTCACTCCATTCTATCCCAAACATCTCTCCCAAATGACATACTACCCACCCTCAAAGGTTTTCTACTCAATAAAGTGGACCCTGAACCTCTGCCTCTTTAACAAGTGAGCAATTAGTGAAGATATGGTCCCTCTAACTCCTTTAAGTACCCACACCAGTGTTTACAGCTTATTTAAAGCATTTTTCAAATTCAGAATTTTACTAGAAAGATTTGAGTTTCTTGTTTATATCCTCTGAAGACCCAAACAGTCTTTGTACAAATTATTAAAAGGTTGCCTGTTATTCAAATGCTTGTTTGCCATCTGCTGGAAAATGGTAACACTTAATATACAAAAATTGAAGATTATGGGGGCCGGCACGGTGGCATAGCAGGTAAAACCACTGCTTGCATTGCTGGCATCCCATGTGGGTGCTGGTTTGAGTCCCTGCTGCTCCACTTCTGATCCAGCTCTCTGCTGGGAAAGCAGCAGAAAATGGCCCAAGTCCTTGGGCCCTTGAACCCGCATGGGAGACCAGGAGGAAGCTCCTGGCTTCGGATCAGCGCAGCTCTGGCATTTGAAGCCATCTGGGAAGTGAACCAATGGATGGAAGACCTTTCTCTCTCTCTGCCTCTGCCTCTCTGTAACTCTGCATTTCAAATAAGTAAATAAATCTTTAAAAAAAAATTGATGATTATGAATGTGTGCAATGTATAGCCTGTACAACCCTGCACTAGAGCCCAGTTCCTCCTTCCCTGAGAGATGGAAAGCTGATGATTGGTGGGAACCAGTAGGGCACAGCACACACAGTTGCTATCCAAAACCTGAATTAACATACTTGCTTGCATTATTTGGAATGAACCATTTAGTCATTACAGAAATGAAATTATATTCCTTTATTCCAAGATGAAACAGCAGAAAGCTTCCTACCTTGAAAAACTGTCCTAAAAATGGCTGAAAATATGGTAAAGAAATCCACAGATGGAGCTTTAGTTAAGTTAAGGAAGATACTGGAAAAAGGAAAAACTACCAAAAACAAGGAACTATATCACCTCTTTAACAACTGAAGAATAAACATCTCTTCCTTGAATATAACAATGTTTGACCAACCAGGAAACCCTTCTTGGTTAATATCATTTCTCCCAACTTTTGGAAGATACCAGATAAAGAAATCTGAGCAGAGTATATGCTCGACTGAAGGAGACATTTCCAAATAATACTCAATTATTTTTTCTTCTCCAATCTATTCCAGTTATTCTTATAAAACAATGCACTATGAGTTAACATCCCAGAAACTCTAGCATAAAGAGAACAGACTCATCAGTAGTTAGCACATCAGTCAAACTTACAAAGCACACAAGGTTTTGCCATGAATATTAAACACATCTTCCTTGCTTTGATAACTGTACACTTTATACATCTCAATCCAAGATCCCTATCATTTCCCACTCCCAGTTAACTCTTTCACCATGTATTAGAAAGAAGAGCTCATTCTATGCCTCTCCTACCTAACACTTGTTCTCAAATACTCAGACTAAAAAAATAAGTATGGACGCTTTTCTTAGACTAAAAAAATAAGAAAAGTATAGATTTAAAAAAAAATTTTATTGATTTATTTAAGCCAGAAAGAGAGAGAGAAATAGAGTTTGAGTACCTGAACTACCCTAAATGCCTGCAACAGCTGGAGCTGGCCTAAGTCAATCCAAGTCTCCCAAGTGAGTGGCAGGAGCCCAGTCACTTGAGTCATTGTTGTTACCTTCCAGGGTCTGCTGGAGGGGGCAGCAAACCCAGGAGTGTGGGTGTCTTAACTTGTGTTTCCCCAGCTAGGCCAAATACCCCTAACTCCTACAATGTTTGCTGAATTAATGAAAACATAGTCAACTATTATAAATGTCCTCAAAACTATCACAGACTTGTTTCCAATTGTGCTCTTCTTTGTCACCTATTATCTTTCATCTTTTACTATCAGAGAAGTCGCACTACATATCTACAAATAGCTGTCATTTTAGGACAAATTCCATCAGGGTCTCCCACATGAGTAGCAGAAACCCAAGCACTTCAGCCATCATTCATTGCCTTGCAGGGTTCCCATTAGCAAGAAGTTGGAGGGGCCAGTGCTGTGGCACAGTGAGTTAAACTGCCACCTGTGACACTGGCATCCCATATGGGCGCTGGTTCGAGTTCCAGCTGCTCCACTTCTGATCCAGCTCCCTGCTGATGGCCAGGGAAAAGCAGCGGAAGATGGCACAAGTGCTTGGGCTCCTATACCCATGTGTGAGCCCTGGATGTAGCTCCTGGCTTCAGCCTGGCCTAACCCTGGCCTTTGCAATCATCTGGGGAGTGAACCAGCAGATGGAATATCTTTCTCTGTACTCTGCCTTTCAAATAAAATAAACCTTAAAAAAAAAAAAAGAAAAGAAAAAGCTGAATCAGAAATGGAGGCAAGAGTCGATCCCAAGCATTCCAATGTGGGATGTGAGCAACCCAAGCAAAGGTTTAACCTAGTGTGTCACAAGAGCTCACCTATCTAGAAGTTTACACTGATAACTGTTTATAATTTGCCCTTTCTTTCATATGGTATTCTGTACCTTCTACAATTCCTTGCTATTTTTTCATCTTAATATCTTTCTTACCTACATAGTGGCCTAATCTCAGGCAGGTATCTCGTTTTTAAAACTTATGTATTTGTGAGACCGGCATAGTGGTTGGCAGGTAAAGCTGCCGCCTACAGTGCCGGCGTCCTATAAGGGCATCAGTTCGAGTCCTGATTGCTCTATTTATGGTACAGCTCTCTGCTATGCCCTGGGAAAGCAGCAGAAGACTGCCCAAGTACTTGGGTTCCTACACCCACATGGGAGACCCAAAAGAAGCTCCAGGCTCCTTAGAATCAGCGCAGCTCCAGCCATTGTGGCAATTTGACAAGTGAACCAGCAGATGGAAGACCTTTCTCTCTCTCTCTCTCTCTCTCTCTCTGCCTCTGCCTCTGCCTCTCTGTAACTCTGCCTTTCAAATAAATAAATCTTATTTTAATAATAAGACTTATTTTTAAGAAAGAGACAAATAGAAAGCTCCCATTTGTTGATTCACTTTATAAATGCTCAGGAGTCATGAACTCAACATACATTTCCTATGGGAGTGGCAGGAAACCCAATCACATGAGCCATCACTGCTGTCTCCCAGGGTCTGCATTAGCAGAAAGCTAGGAGTCATAGGAAGGTCATCAAACCCAAGTACTACAATGTGGGATGCAGGTGACTCAACTGGCATTTTAACCACTAAGATAAATACCAATCCCTTCATTTGTTAATGGGAGAAATAAAGCTAACAGTTTCTGAAATATTACCTAACCTTTCACAGACCTAAGCACAAGCTTTTAAAAATCAATATATCATCATATTATCATTCATCTTTCCCTTCCCAATTTTTGGGCTAAACTTCTGCTTCTACTGGTTTAGCCTAGGCCCCAAAATTCAAAAGTCTTGCTATTGACTTAATGCCACAATGTCAAGTACCATTACTTTCCAGCCCTAGCCCATCAATTCATTTCTACTGACCCAATTAATTGCATAGATATTTTTATGCTAGTCTCCTACTTTCCAGCTCCCATCTTTAAACTATCTTTGATGCTCACAAGATTAAACTTTCCTCTAAGATACTTCTGGCTTTCTTGACCCTCCTTCTATTACTACTTTTGGGTCACCCAGGGTATATCCACATCTCTCTTATATACTCTTTCCATCATTTAAACCCTGGTAATAAAAATGATAAAGAAGTTATACAAGACTGAACACCTTAACAATGATGGATCAGGAAGAGGTATATAGCCTAGTAGTTAAGACCTCTGTGTCCCCTATCAGAGTACCTGGGTTTGATTCCTGGCTCAGGTTCCTGATTCCAGTTTCCTGTCAGTGCAGACAATGAGAGTTATGATGGCTCAAGTAACTGGGTCCCTGCCACCCATGTGGGAGACCTAGATTGAGTTCTTGGTTCCCAGCTTTAGCCAGCCCAACCTAGTCTCAGCCATTGAAGGCATCTTGGATTTGGGGAGTCAGAGGATAGGAAGCTGCGCTCACCTGCTGTTCACCACAACCCCGTCCCGTGTCTGCTTATCAAATACATTTTTTCTTCTTTTTTTAAAAAAGATATATTCATCCATTTGAAAGAGTTACAGAGAGGCAGAGGCAGAGAGAGAAGTCTTCCATCCGCTGGTTCACCCTTTAAACAGCCACAATGGCAGGAACTAGGCTGATCCAAAGCCTGAGCCAGAAGCCAAGAGCCCCCTCCAGTTCTCCCACATGGGTGCAGGGGCCCAAGTCTTGGGCCATCTTCCTCTGCTTTCCCAGGCCACAGCACAGAGCTGAACCAGAAATGGAGCAGCTGGGACTCGAGCCAGCAGCCACATGGGATGCCGGCACTGCAGGCAGTGGCCTTACCCACTACGCCAACATCAGCCCCATCAAATTAAAAAAAAAAAAAAAAAGCCTTGGTCTGGCCATTGCCCAGAAGAGAAACACACACATGTACACAAAAGTAAACTCAGAGTTTAGTGGTTACACTTTTTCACTTTCTATAACTCCAAATCAATGATCAGACTCATGACAGAAATCTTAGGGAGTGACAGTGGAGAAGGAAAGGATCAAAGTTATCAACTAAGGTTAAAACCCAAGGCCATCAATCTATATAATCTCCAAATAACCAACCTCTAAAGAAGTACTTTATTATACATAGCAAGACTAGCTCCTCATTTCATCACCTTCTTAAAGAAAAAACTACTCCTTGGCCTTGAAAGCTTGTAAAACTGATATTCTTCTACAGTGTTACCATCTCTGATACAGTTCTTAGTGGAACTTTCTTGTCCTTGTTTTACTTTCTTCCTTACCCTTGCCCATTTCCTGCCATACGGGAGTCTATTTACACTACATTTTTCCATCTCACTCTCTCCATACCTTACAACAAAGCAGTGATTCTCAGCTAGGGGATGGAGGCTACTTCCCTTTAGAAGAGCTAATGAGACCTGAGGGTTGGGGATAACTGCACAGCTTAAAAACATGTATTCAATATTATAGCTTTATATTTACCAAATGAAAAACACTTATCATTGTTTGGGACATTTACATTCAGTGAAACTGGACAAAATATTGTCTCAGTCAGTGAGGTTGTGTAAAAAACAAAAACAAACAAACAAACAAACAAAAAAAAACCAAAAAAAAAAAAAAAAACAAGACTGGGAGAAAGGGGGTGGAGACAGAGGAAGCAGCATGCCTGGCTTGGAAGGGTTATCAGTATCTTGAGATGGGATAAAATTTCTCATGGGTTCTCAAAAGAGAGTTTATCACAGTTTACTATTTATGACAGATGAGAAACACTGCAACAGAGATGATTCCACTAACAGATAAAATCATATAAACAGAACTAAAGACATCCATTCTCCATTTACACATTTCCCAGTACTGCCCATTCTCTTAGAAGATATTGAACCAAAGCCATATTGAGCAACACTGACCTTTTTCTATACTATTCACCTTTAGAAAACACCACTCATGTCCACTTAACCTCTAGCTGATCAAAGACTCAGAAAAGGGTAAACTATTTTATTTCATAGTATAAGTCCTGTTGTTGAAACTGTATCCTTTCAAGAGGATAAGCTGCAGACAGACATAAACACATGTTACTGAAATACAAGATGGGCAGAAGCAGCTTAATTTAAATGAGAAATTCCTTGAAAAATAAAATAATCAGAAAGGCTACAATGAAAATCATCTACCTAATTTTCAAAGGGAAGCATTGAGAAAAACTGTCCCATGGAGACATCTGTGAAACTCAAAGGGTGTCAAATCTTAGAAACGGGAAATAAACATCCAAAGTGAACGTAATCACAATTTAGGGTCTGGGCAAGAAGGACACAGACCATAAGAAATGGAGCTATTAACTGGGAGCCACTCAGGAATTTCTTCAGGAAGATCAAGATTCTAGGCTATTTTCTTTATCTTCATCATTCTCACTGCCAAATGTGCGGCTACTCTGTTTTCCAATTACTGAAGGAGAAAGCACTCACACCTCAATCAGGGGTATGGCCATCTCGGGGCACACACGACTGGGAAAGTGAGCCCCCTGAGTCAATAGGGAAAGCAAAATCGGTGCCCACGAGAGCAGAAAGCATGTATTTTCGGAGGAAAAAGGAGAAACTGTAGAAATTATGCACTCATTTAGGGAAAGGGAAGGGACGAGGTAAGGAAGTGAGGGGTTGATGGAAAGAAAATGCGACTGGGGATGGGGGTGGGGGGCCTGGGTACATTACCTGCTCATACTGCCGGGGTTGGTGCCAGTAAGGCCCATACAGCAAAGGCAGATTTCTGGCAACTGGCGCCCCAAAAATGGAGATGAGGTACATGCACTTGAAGGAGGGAGCTAGCGGGGGTGCCCTCCAGGGTGGGGATGGCCAAGACGGGAAGATGCGGGGGGGGGGGGGGGTTTGAGGGGGGGGTGTGGATGCCCGGGGTAGGAGCAATGTTAGGGCGGAAGCTGCAGGCTGAAAGGCTCGGCAAGCCCTGAAGGAGAAAAGGAGCTGTGCCTCACCCTAGTGGGAGAGAGAGGTGGCTTTACCTGCAGCGGCCGTGGGGGGCCGGTTCGCCCCTCTCGCTGTCTCTCCAGCACCAGTTCCCCCTCCTCCTGCGCAACCCAACTTGATGCGCCTGCCCGCCCCGCATCCTCATTGGCTGCAGTCTTCTGTCACTCATCTCAGGCGCAAACACGCAAAACAGCGCAAAGGGAGGGACCAAAAGGAACTCCCTTCCCCCTCCCCCGCGGGTTAGGTTGAGAGCGCACGGAGAGGCCTATCCGGTTTCTAGGGCCGAGGCAAGCCTGCAGCTTGCTTGAAAAAAAGGGGACCTGGCAAGAAGAAAGGTCTCACAGTGCGGGAAACCAGTCCTGGGGATTAAATTCCCTTCTACCTACACTGCATTCTGCACACCAAAGAATGTAAACTAGGGAGGGAGGGTTCCACACTAGGCCAGCTCCGCCTCCTTCTGGATCCCCTGCCTTCTTGCAACCCTGTCAACCCCTCTCCAGTAGTGACTGTACCTTCTCAAACTACCTCCCCCGCCAAAATGGGCCAAATTGTCCCTGCCCTGAGGAGTCAGCCCGTTGCAAGGCTATGGTGCCTTTTATTCTTCAAAAATAAAGCACTCTCTGCCACAGCCCATAATGCTGGCCTGCATTATTGACACTCGCACCCTTCCGTGGCCCTATATAGTAATCTATATAGTAATCCTGGGTGCCCTCCAACAGCTCCCGGCTTCCTGTCCCTGAAAATGCACACACACACACTATTCACCCCCAAACTCAGCCCCCTGCCCTCACCTCTCTTGAAACTCCGCCCATCTGACGTACTGGTCAGTGTCCACTTTGCAGTGCCACTGGAGAGCACGCTAATCCCCAGACTATTTAACCCCTGAAGGATGGTATGCAAGCTTAAAATCCCCCAAAGTAAACTGCTATTACAAACAGCTGCTTACTTCCTGACCTCAAGTTTCCTCTGGAAAGTGAACATCCTCAACATTGAAATACCGCTTTCTATACTGCAGGACACAAACTAGGAAGAAGCTCAACTTGACCTTAGGTCTCCTATTTTTAAAAGACCCTAGTGTTAACACTGTTGCTAGGGACACTCAATGACCACTCTGGTAAACAGTAATATTGTTTTCCCATTGGCTCTGGCTCAAAACCTCAAAGGTGTGTCTGAAGCTCCTCCTGTATCTACCATCCAATCATTTGCAAAGTCCCATTGACTCTTGTAATACACTTCTGTGACAGATTCTGAAGCTGGCAAAGATTACAGCAATCATAGCGTAACCATTTAATTGCACAGATGAGGAAAACTGAGACTTATAGAATTGAATGATTTGACTATGAAACTCAGCAAAAAATTCAGGACTAACATTTCTGCTGCCATCTCTCTTATTTATGCAGTTGCTTGTATAAGAGAAAGAAATCTAACTGAACACTCCCCCTATCAGATTAATTTTCTAAAGCACAGGATAGCCAAATCAGCCTCATGCTTCATTCAAAGGTTCTGTTACACAAGACATAAATCTTAACATGCTCTGTGTCCACTCCTATTTTCCACTAGAATTCTATTTATTTCTTTGAAAGACAGAAGGACAGACAGACAGGCAAAGAGCTCCCATCCATTCTCCAAATGCCTGAAATGGTTGAGCATGAGCCGGCCCAAAGCCAGGAGCAAGCAATTCAATACAAGTCTCCCATGTGGGTAGTAGGGAACCCATTATTTAAGCCATCATCTGCTGCTTCCCAGAGTGTGCATCAGAAGGAAGCTGGGGCCGGCGCCATGGCTCACTAGGCTAATCCTCTGCCTGCAGCGCCAGTACCCCAGGTTCTAGTCCCAGTTGGGGAGCCGGGTTCTGTCCCGGTTGCTCCTCTTCCAGTCCAGCTTTCTGCTGTGGCCCGGGAAGGCAGTGGAGGATGGCCCAAGTGCTTGGGCCCTGCACCTGCATGGGAGACCAGGAGGAAGCACACGGCTCCTGGCTTCAGATCAGTACAACACGCTGGCCATGGCAGTCATTAGGGGGGTGAACCAACGGAAGGAAGACCTTTCTCTCTGTCTCTCTCTTTCTAACTCTGCCTGTCAAAAAAAAAAAAAAAAAAAAAAAAAAAAGACGAAGAAGAAGAAGAATGAAGCTGGAATTGAGAGTAGAGTCAGAACTCAAATCCAGGCACTCCATATGGGATGCAGGTATCCCAAGCGGCATCTTGATGTGATGTACGCATTCCAAGTGGCATATTGCCAAATGCCTACCCCTACTATTCTACACAAATGGTTACATGTTAGCCAAAAAAACCCAAAAAACAAACAAACAAAAAAACCACAACCTATTATCACCACACATTTTTTTCCCCTCATCTGGGGCTAGATAATACAGTCATTTTCAAACTATATGACACCTTTAATTCACTTGTTTTGTGTTATCAAAATCTTATCCTTTAAGATCTATATCAAATGCTTCTTCATTCATTATCTCAACATTTATTGAGTATATGATGTATCAAGTAATTTGCTAGTGTTAGGGAACCAAAGATGAAGAATATAAGACATAAACCCCACCCTCAACTCATAGTAGGTAAGAGTGTACTTGTGTATGTGTGCAGGGAGATGGGGAAGTGTAGGACAGTGACAAACAGTAACACAAGGGAGTACAGGCAATGAAATCAGCCAGAGGCTCTTACAGGAACACACAGGACAGGGACTCATGAGGAAAAGATACGAAGGACATGCTTTCTTAATGAAAAGGAGTTAACTAGGTAGAGGGTAAGGTGGACCATAAGAAAGGAGCATTCGGGCAGCAGTGGCAGTAAGAGGAAGGGCAAGAGACAGGCAGAAGCAACTGGGAGTGGTGCTGTAGTTCATCCTGTTGAAGTGTAAATCACAAAGAAGAAAATGGAAGAAGGTAAGGTTAAAGGGATAGATGAAGGGTAAGGCCATGGAGGGTCTTAAATTTCTTACAGGTAGATGAGGAGTCATGAAATATGCAATGACATGATCAGAGCTAACTCTGGCTTTAGGAGGCAAGAGAGACAAGAGGGCAGAGAAGCAGTTAGGAGGCTGCTGTGAGGTTCCAGATATAGGGTATCTGCTCAACCAAAAGCCCCCTTCCTATACTGTGGGAATAACAAGGTAAGACTCTCCAGTGGGAAGCTACATCCTATAAGCAACTCTAAAGCCAGGGGGAGAGGGAGTCTGTCTCCTCCTCCCAACCCTGGCAGACAAGAAGTCACACACGACCAAGGCTAATTTAAGTTCTCCTATTGGAAACCTTTGTCTTTGCTGGGCTAATGTAAAGATGATCCTGAACCAATCAGTTAGAAACTATTTGCCTATGGCAGACGCTAGAGTTTAACTGCAGCATCCTATACAAACTCTTCAGTGATGTGACCCTGACCTTCCCCGTGTCCTTGCCTCTCTTGGTCTCAGATCATTTTCTAAACCAGGTTCTCATTGTGAGCCTCAGAAACCTTCCAACAAATTTACTTTCTGCTTACATTAGCCAAAAGGTGATTTCTGTTGTTTGCAACCAAGAATCCTAACAAGATGACTATGCCCCAAATAACAGCTGTGTGATTTAAAAGATAATGGGCTGGCACCGTGGCTCAATAGGCTAATCCTCCACCTTGCAGCGCTGGCACACCGGGTTCTATCCCGGTCAGGGCGCCGGATTCTGTCCCAGTTGCCCCTCTTCCAGTCCAGCTCTCTGCTGTGGCCCGGGAGTGCAGTGGAGGATGGCCCAAGTGCTTGGGCCCTGCACCCCATGGGAGACCAGGAGAAGCACCTGGCTCCTGCCTTCAGATCAGTGCGGTGCGCCGGCCGCGGCGACCATTGGAGGGTGAACCAACGGCAAAAGGAAGACCTTTCTCTCTGTCTCTCTCTCTCTCACTGTCCACTCTGCCTGTCAAAAAAAAAAAAAAAAAAAAAGATAATGACAGCAAGAAACGGGCAGAGCTCAGAAATACTTGAGATAAAACTCAGTAGAACCTGGAGTCTAGACTGGAGTCTAGAGGAAAAGATGAGATTCAGCCAACACTGAGTTTGAGTTGGCAATAGCATATTAAGTAGTGACATTCAACAGGAGGTTGGCTGTATAAGTCCAAGTCTGATTTGGTGATAGATTTAGAGTTAACCGTGTCTAAGTGGTAGTTGCAAAAGTGGAGCTTACCCATGGAATATGAAGAGTAGACCAAGAAAAGGCAAAACTGCACAACTACTGTTGGGGAGACAATAATTGAGAATGTTAGTGTCTGAAGAACTGGAGAATCCATTTCCATTCTAAAGAAAGTAGCTGCTATTTATCTGTAATTAAGTACTGCCACATGGAAATACTCATTCAAGGTCAGACACAACTTCAGATTTTTGAAAATCAGGAAGAGTTTTACATAAAATCTACAGCTCTTAATGCAGAAAACTATTAAACAAACAAAAAACTTGAAACACTATGCAGGCTAAACAAAACACTTACCAGGAGACCTCATTATCTGAGATTCTGGTAGAATGAGAAAATCTTTTTTTTAATTTATTTATTTTTAAAGGCAGAGTTAGAGAGAGAGAGAGAGAGAGAGCTCTTCCATCTGCTGGTTCACTCCCCAAATGACAATGGCCAGGGCTGAGCCAGGGCAAAGTCAGGATCCAGGAGCTTCTTCTGGGTCTCCCACATGGGTGCAGGGGCCCAAGCACTTGGGCCATCTTTCACTGCTTTCCCAGGCGCATCAGCAGGGCACTGAATCAGAAGTAGAGTAGCCAGGACTTGAACTGAAGCCTTTATGAGATGCCTAACTCGCTATGCCACAGCATCAGCCCCAGAATGAGAAAATCTTAAGGAGGAACCCAGGAGAACACAAGAATTTTAGAATGAGAATAAGATATGCCTACTTAAGCAGGTAGGGAAGGAAAAGCTAGACAAGCAAGGGTACAACATCACGGGTCCAGCGCTGTGGCAAAGCAGGTCAGCAGTGCTAGCATCCCATATGGGTGCCTGTTCATGTCCCAGCTGCTCCATTTCCAATCCAGCTTCCTGCTAATGGTTTGGGAAAAGCAGCAGAAGATGGTCCAAGTGCTTGGGCACCTGCCACCCACATGGGAGACCCAGAGGAATCTCCTAGCTCCTGGCTTTGGCTTGGCCAGTCCCAGC